TAGACTACTAAAATAATCTTAAAATAGAAGTTTAGGTATAATTATAAACTAAATAGTAAGATTAAATAGTAAGTTAAACGCTATTATACAAACTATAATATCGTTCCTATATATAAAAGGAAGAGCGCGAAGGGCGCTGTAGGCGTAAAGAGCGCTAGTCGCTAAAGTCGCGAGGTACGCTCGTTACGCGTATATATTTCGAAGGATAAGCGCTAGCCTTAGTACCTAGGGTTGCGCCAAGCTGCGCGCTTCGAACTTCGATCCGTAACACCGAAGCGAGGACTTCACTACCGATACAATCTTCCTTAACGAGGCAGGCATAGCGACCGAGCCTGACATGCTTATGTTAGTGTTGAACCGCATAGGGGCACTGCAGCTTCTTGTTCTCGCCGGGGACAGTCGGCAGCTTGGTCCCCTCGTTCCTTCAGACCAGTCTGGCCGCGACCCACTGGGCAAGCTGCTCAGCACATCCATCCTGCAACGACTCGCGGACGGATGGCCGCAGCTGGCCCAAGTCAAGCTTGTCAAGAACTATCGCGGCCACCCCGATACATCTGCGATGGCCAACGAAATCTTCTACAAGGGCGAAATGGAGTCGGTCCTTCCAGCATCCCATTGGGATACACCTCTGACACGGAATGTCTCAAGCTTGGTGCAGACCCTATCCCCAGCCCTCCCTCCGAGATCGCGCACTCCAACCCAGAACGATCGAGTGTTCTTCTTCGACGTCAAGACCAGGTCCAGCAAAGAAGATACCGGTTCGTCCACGTACAACGGGGGTGGGATCCAAGCTACCATTCCCCTGGTGAAACTACTTGCGGGGCTTGGTGTGAAGTGGAACGAGATCGGCGTTATCAGTATGTACCGGGAAGACCTCCGCCTGCTCATTGTCAACCTGAAGATCAATGGTATTCGAAACATCGAGACCAAGAAGCATGACCAGAGGGATGGCCTGCGAGTCGCGAGTGTCGACTCCTTCCAAGGTCAACAGCGGCCTACCATGATTGTTCATTTCGTTTCAGCGAGGAAGACCGGTCATGACCCATTCGGTCTCGTGAAGAACGCCCTTCGCCTGAACGTAGCATCCACAAGATCGCAAGCGTATCAGTTCTTTGTGGGAAACATGACTTTGTGGCAGGAGTGGAAGAAGAGTATCTCTAGTTGCAATGAGAGCACGACGGCCATGATTAATGTCATGAAGTGGCTTCTGAACTGGGGCAAGGTTGACGCGGTCACTGGTGACGGGACTGTTGTTTAGGATCCAGACGAGAAGTAGGCTGGAGGGCGACGGGTTGAGAGAGAGGGACGGTGGGATGGTGAGGGCAGGGGATGAGATTGAATGAGATAGTTGGCAGATTTCAGCTTGCAGCAGGCCGAACGTCGTTCGACGATGCCCTTGATCGTAAGACAGTAGTATTGAATCACTTTCATGACTCGTGTAATCCTGATCTTACGATCCTCGACACGAAGCAAGCTCCTCGTGTGTAACTTCCGAAAAGCAACGACTCCTTCTGAAGAGCAATGCCACAAGGCTCAGCACAACGCTCATGCTCCTTCACAAAGATTATATTCAAGCTACTATAGGCCGAACTGTCGAAAAGCGCAGTCCGTGGTAGCTCGGGAAGAGTTTGTCTTGCGTGGCGCCAAAGATCTCAGCAATCGCAACCTCGACGTTCTTGGTGAAGGTCTCAACGCTACCAGTGCCAAAGAGTCTCGGCTGGTCGTACTCTGGCACAACGAGGGCGGCATCGAAGAGGTTCTTAGGGTCCTCGACGACCGGTGGCAGACCGACCCTCAGCCGCTGGTCGGCGATATAGACGAGCTTGTGGTTCGAGCCCAGCATGGAAGCCCAGATGCTTCCACCGTCGTTCCAGCGCGCAATGCGCACTTTGAAGTCTCCACTTTCGGCGGACCCCTTATAGGCATGGATCTTGTTCTGTGACACGCCAGTCTTGACGAAGCGATCGCGGAGGTGGAATTCGACTGCGCCATCGACGGCTTCCACGGTGGTGCGCTTTGGAGCCATCTAAATAATGTCAGCTCCAGTCGAAGTTCCGGTTGTACTTCAGCACATACCTTTTAGGAATGGGAGATGCCGATGGAGCGTGGATGTTGGAAGGGGTCCTCAGGAACAACAGCGATGCTAGAAAATGAGTCAACAGCTTTGATATATTCTGAGTGGACGATATAGACGTATCAACGTTAATGCAGTCTGCTTGTCGCAGTTCTAGGTGTGGACGGAAGGTGTGGTGTCAAGAGCTAGATTCGGAAATTCCAGTGTCGCAAGCTTGATGGCAATTAGAGTTTTCTAGCGCACAGTCCGCGCTTCCACATGCGGGCTTTCAAGGCGCGTTTGTCTTCCAGACATCAACCCTTAGTCCATCTGGCCTATGGACTTGGAACATTGATTGACAATCAGCAATTTGAGACCTCTTGCTTCCGACTGTTCGAAGATGAGTCCAACTACTCTGACGAGCAGAAGCTTCTCTCCCGGACTAGCAAGCACCTACCACCAGCTACTCCACGAAAGCCTCATCGAACCCACCGTGCCGCAGACGCAGAACAGAGCTGTGCATATTCTAAGAGAGGCATTGAAAGACGCAAACGAGAGTGGGACTCAAGGCGCAGCGATCATTCGGCAACAGTTCACGTCTCCATAGCTAGCGTCTATTAGCAACAACTCACTACGTCGAAGTCGAAGATGATGTTCGTATGTACGATATCTCGTTGCACAAGGGTGGGTATGGACCACAAGGGCTGCCGAAATAGAGATGACTTAGGCATATCACGGCCGAATCGAAACGTGAACGAACCCCTTGCGCACGCGATACGTACGTGTACTAGGTTGATGGGAGGGATGGACCGGGCAATGGACAAGCCTACTATCACAGCTTGCTAAGACCAGGGATCTGGCAACGAGAAAGAGGAGAGAACTAACAACATCGAATTGGACCTGAAATCATTTAGACTGGAACGACGGGGTTGCCGAGATAGCACGAGCGCAGGTTACAATCGTCAGCACTCGCGGAAGAGAGCTCCAATCTTCCACCACAGAGTCGATTAACTGGAGACTGCTCGTATTCAGTCTCCAACATTTCTAGGATCTCCATCAAGCCACTGTTTAAAGTTTCCAGAAGCTCCGTAGTGACAAGCTCCTCTCCCAGCGGCTCTTTCTCGACATCCCATCTCAACTTGAGCCTTGCCAGCTCTTGATTCTGAGCCTCAATCTTTTCTGCGAGCCGACGCGTATTCCATCCTTCTTGACCTACTTCCAGAATCTTGGACTGCATCATACTTTCCCATTCTGCCAAGTTATCGTCTACAGATTCGTGGGCGAATGAGAAATATCCTCAAGTACTACTAGTGCATTCGGGACAGACATGCCCGTCAAAATCCTCAACTGCCATCCCTAGATTCTGTCGGGAAAAGTTGTAGAGCAAGATCGCGGAGCTCGAAGATTTCTGCACTATGCTCGAGCAACACGGCTTGCCTTTACTAACTAGGGATCAAAGCTTAAGATGATGTGCAGTCATTTCTATGCGTAGGGAGTTTGGGATTCAATTGTAGTTTCGCTGACGTACACAGCCTTGCCAGGAAGCTTGCTGTGGTTTTACAAGGCTTTGCCAATTCTACACTCTGAAACACACGTATAAGACAGAAAAAGACCTATCGCCGGGCTCTCCTCCCGCCAAAGCGTTGCGAACTAACAAAGCATCTATTTCTTCCCGAAGCACGTAGGAATTGCTAATACTAAAGGTCTTAGCACAGCACGAGTAGATGTTTATCGAACACCCGAAGATCCTTTCGGGAAAGCTATGATTGCTGAGGGTATGGGGTTAGGGTGCACATTTGGTAAGCTTTTTAGATCTTCAGGCGGAGAGAAAATTACCTCGATGTTGCCTTTTTCGAGCTCTACGTCGGCTATGTCTACGAGAGCAAGTACGCTCCAAGACATGCTTCCCAGTCCTCAGGGTTCGTCCTCCTCGTTCCTGTATCTACATATAACGAACGTAACTCTGCCTACTAGGCTCTGTCAACATATCCTCGTATGCATCAAGAAAGTATAGACCAGAACATATCCTAGATGCCATTCGAAGGTCTGTCACTCGAGACACTTGAGTACTACATACTACCGGATCGAAAGACTAGAAGAGATTCAATGATCGAGCTATATCCGAGCACGAAGACCATGATCGAGTATCTCTTTTTCCCCCATTTCAGACTGTGATATCTCTCCGATGATCTTTGTATCAGTTAGCGCTCTGCAAGATACATCCATCATTCCATCCTAGCTACTATCTCCGACAGCGTTGATTGTGTAGAAGTCACGCTCTATGGGCATTCACTACTACAATGACATTTCTCGCAATGCAGCGATTTTCTGGGATGTGGTTGTCCCTCAAAAGCGATCCCGGAGCAGCCGAAGAGTCCTCAGCTCGGCAGTGGGACAGCTCCCGATGCTGCAATGGAACCTCATCTCTGCAACACGCCCTAAGGCGCTTCGAACTTCGTCACTGCCATGCTCGCTTCTCTTGAAACATAAGTTCAGCTTCGAAGTTCCTCATACGAGAGTCATTCCATAGAGAGAGCGAGGCAGACTCGAAGAAGACATTGGGAAGGAACCGACAATGTCATCGCCAAGCCCCAAACGCCCAATGACATTTCGCCTTGCTACCGTCAACGATGCATCCCACATCGCAAATCTCATCAACACAGCCTTCCGTAGCGAGAAGACCGGACAGACTTGGTTGTATGACGAGCAAGAGAAGCGCGTAGACATTGTGTCGGAAGGCCTAGCCGAAGATCTCATCTTGGGCAAAAGCTCGGAAACCATTATGCTGGCTGGAACCCTCGACTCGAGGATTGCGGCGACATGTTTTCTACGCCGTCCTGACACTACTGTTCCACCTCCGGACCATTTACAGCACGTCACTCCTGGATCTGCGTGGCTGGGATTCTTGGCTGTTGACCCGACGCTGCATAGCAAAGGTTACGGGAAGGACATGCTCGTCGAGGCGGAGAGATTTGTCCAGCAGGAGTGGAAGGCGACAAGACTTGAGTTTGACTTTGTGCATACGAGAAAGGAGTTGAAGGAGTGGTATGCGAAGCAGGGCTACAAGGAGACTGGGCAGAAGCGGCCATTCTTCTACGGAAAAGATGGGAGGGGGATTCTTGCCGATGGCCTAGAGATGGTGGTGCTGGGCAAGGATCTTCGAGACGCGAAATGAGAGTAAAGACATACTTTCGTTATGTTCAACAGCGCCCAAGGACTACCGCCACCTCTGGTCCGACACTGGTGAGGAATTGTACAGACCGTTCTACAAGGGCGTCCCAAACTTGAAGTCGGGGGATGTGAGATTCCGAGATCTTTTCCGCAGGCCTATGGTGCCCATTATCATGAAGTCAAGCCTGATTAGGCCACGACATCGTCCACAGTATCTGTACCGGTCTGGGGCTTGGGAGAGAGGGTACGGCGTCGAGGTTAATGGCTACTGGCTGCCGACGAGTCTTCGGACGTGTGCGAAAACATCTGGTAGAAAGTGAGCTTCGCTTCTAAGAACGATCGAGGAAAAAGAACCGAGTAGACTCCGAGTATTTGTTCTCCAACACCAGACCACTTCCTCACTCCTTTTCGGAGCAGACAGCCTGAACGAGAGTGAAAACTTCTCAGGCTTTCTTCTCCTGCTCTTGAACGGCCTCCGTCGGGGTCTCCTCCGCTTACGTTGAGATTCTCTCCCCCCGATGTCCATCCTGGCCATGGACCTCGTGCATGATTTCGTGCGCTTCTTGTTCAGAAACGTCCTTGGCTTACTTTCGTTTGACATGGTAAGTCACCCCTGGAATAAGAAACAGGATAGCAAAACTTGATCGCGTGGATGGCAATGAACCGGTGCCCTCTTCGTACAGCAGACAGGCCAGCACCGAGATGCTGAAATGAAGTACACATTGTAGCTGATGGGAGAGTCGTAGGATTCCGAGTTCTGCAATCCCTGCGGAGCGTTGAAGACATCTCAACCATCATCTGTTTCCAGGTTGCAACAATTCACATGCCACACGTTTTCCAAATATCGTACAAGCCTGGCCCGTTTCCAGCTTCAGACACACCACTGTCGACATTGTCTGCGAAGACCTGTCACTGCAAACTTCAGATCGACTTCGAGAACATACCTACTGCGACGAGATAGAGCGCATGGGGAGAACATCGTGAAGACCTTAGCTGACATCGCATTTCCACCTCTGTACAGCACCAGTACAACCAGAACATCGGCGAGGATAGCATCACCACCAGCAATGAAAACAATGACGCCGCATACCCAAGCAAAACTCCTCCAACAAATGGATGATCATTGCGTACTTTCGGGTCCAGTCACCAAGCAGGAATGTCTTCTTGTCGTTCTTTCCAGTGACTACCGGAGCCTGCGCAATCTTCACTGTCCACTTATTCTGCGTCTTCCTTAGATTGAGATTCCTTCAACGGGACAGATGAATGGGACCTGCAGAACCTACCGCAGGCCCCGAATTCCTGTTCCGGTGTTCGATGAGATCCAGCCATCACTGAAAGGACGTTATCGTTGACCGTCAACATGCTGCGCGGCCCGCGGAAAGATCCAGCGCGCTCGCCGCGGCAAGGTTCCAGTATCGAACAGAGTGCAGCTCGAATGACATAAAAACAGGCTCATCTACGAGCAGGTCACCCACCAAGAATTGCGATCATTCAGGCAAGACCGAGCTTCCAATCCACCGAGACTCTCCGGCCCAAACATGTCCTTACCAGATCTCGACATTGCGGGCCTTCAACCAACATCATCCCCAAGTGTAGATTGCAACTTCCAGGCAAGAGCACTCAAGTATCTTGGGAATATCGGCGCCACGTATCGGGACGACATCATCACAGCAGCGAGCGGCCTATATGTCTACACATCGACTGGTCACAAGTTCCTCGACTGGACGTCTGGACAAATGTCATGCCTACTTGGTCATGGCCATCCTGAGGTAGTTAAGGTCATTGCAGACCATGCAGCCAAGCTGGATCACCTGTTCAGTGGTATGGTATCTCCGCCAGTGATATCTTTGGCGGAACGACTGGTCGAAATGCTCCCACCTGGCTTGGATAAGGCATTCTTTCTCTCGACAGGCGGCGAAAGCAATGAAGCGGCGATCAAATTGGCAAAGATGTTTACGGGCAAGTTCGAAATCGTAGGGCTCGGGGCGAGCTGGCATGGGATGACGGCCCAGGCGTTGGGAGTGCAGTATCGATATGGTCGCAAAGGATACGGTCCAAACATGCCTGGCATGTTCGCGTTGCCAGCGCCAAATGCATATCGCTCCACTTTTCGCACACTCGATGGTGGCCATGATTGGGAAGCAGAGATGATGCACGGCTGGGCCATGATTGATATGCAGTCGTGCGGCTCTCTGGCAGCCTGTATCGTAGAGTGCATCCAGTCCTCGGCAGGCATTCATGTATTGCCTGCTGGATACCTCAAGGTTCTTCAGAGAGAATGCACGAAGCGAGACATGCTGTTGATCGTTGACGAAGCACAGACAGGGATTGGTCGGAGCGGTGACCTGATGGCAGTCATGCACGAGAGGGTCGTGCCCGACATCGTCACTCTGAGCAAGACGCTGGGAAATGGAATCCCGCTGAGTGCAGTCGTCACCAGCACCGAGATCAACAGGGTCTGTCAGGCTCGTGGCTTCACGATGTACACCACGCATGCCAATGATCCTTTGCCATGCGCTGTTGGCGATAAAGTATTGGAGATCGTCATGAGGGACAATCTGGCTGAGCATTCGAAAGCAATGGGCGACGTTTTGCACGCCGGGCTTCGCAACTTGCAGCGCAAGTTTGGGTGTATTGGTGACGTGCGAGGCCGTGGTCTCATGGCCGGAGTGGAAATTGTGTCGGACAGGGAAACCAGATCGCCAGCGGTCGAACTGGGCCGCAGCATAGCAGAGAAAGCGTTCGAGCTTGGCCTGTGGGCGAACCTGAGCAGCGACTCGTATTTCAGCGGCGCATTGAGAATTGCTCCACCCATCGTGACAACCAAGGCAGAGATCGAGGAGGGACTGCGTATACTCGAGCAGGCTCTTGCAAGCACGCTAGGCACCTTCCCTTTGCAGGACATCTAGACCAATTCTTGGCCATGGTCTCACTCGAATCCCTCAAAGCCTTGCTCCGGCCAGTCACTCATGGACCATTGATCCCAGATGAATGGTGTGTCTGGCAGTGAGAAATCCAAACTTCTGTTGGCGAGGCCATCGTAGCCTTCGATGTTTGCGATTTTCTGCAGGGCCTGGTCGTAATAACCCAAGCACAAGTCGGCAATATCCCAGTTCCCTCGCTTTCGGTGTTCACGAAGACATTCCATCATCGTCTGCGCGAATCCCAAAGGCTGGTTCAGCTCACGTTGTGCAGGGTCAGTATCCAATACAGATCGTATGAGAAACGTCATAACCATGAGTAGTGCGAATCCCATCGTTGGCATCCAATAGCCTTGCAACTCATCTTCGCCCAATTCTTGGAGAAAGAATACAACGTCTTCCGCAGCTCTCAAGGCGGGTTGGTAGTGCCCCGACTGGCCAGATGCTTCGTGACCTGGGCCCATGTTCAGACGGCGATCCAGAAACTGTATTATGAGAAAAGCCAGTCTGAGGTTTGCGGCTCCGGGAGTGCTGAGGTCTGTTCCTCGAATGATGACGCTACGACTTACGCCGGTTGAAGAGTCCATCCATTCTTGAAGTCGGCTAGTGCTGTCGTGTCTCTGGTCGTTCGAGCTGAAAGACTTGTCTCCCACGGTAGCCAATCGATTAATCTCACATAGGTGAGGCGATAGGACGTTCTCAGTCAGGGTGAGAAGGTGTTCATATATGGACCGAGCATTGGATTCTACAGTATGCTGTGTCAGCTGGGTTGATGGCTCGATAGTAGGAACATCAAAGTAAGTTGTTTGAATGTGCGGCGGTGAGCCATGAGCGAGGCTCTGCCTAGCAAGCGTCAGCCTTCGACCCAGCCTTGACCCAGCTACTGTCCTGCGCACCATCGGTCATAAAGAAGTAGTCCGCGCCATAAGTTCATTCGAGCTTCTTTCTCGTGTGGCGGAATGTCCCATTCGGTAGGATCTCGATTCAACCCCAAGGTGTACGCAACCGATATGGCAAACCCAAGCTGGCCCGAGTTGTTGAAGACCATGGAAGTTGGCCGTCCTCCGACATTGAGCAGAACCGCGGCTATTGTCGACAACTTCGGTGACACCCGCATCTCCAGAAAGAGCGCCTCGTTGGCTAGATTCCAGATGAACCTCTGGTCTGGGGGTCGACGAGATGACAGCCATTGGCTTGAACTCCAGAACGTAAGGCTATGTGCAAGAAGGCACGCCAAGAGAGCAGGCGGCGCATTTCCATCTCGGGTATCAAGCAAGTGATGAAGTTGCTTCTTGCTTAGCAATGGGCAACAAATTTCCGCCTTCGCAACATATCTGTGCTTTGATCTTAGCCTGCTGAAGAGCTGGCGATCAACTAGAATACTCACAACTTGAGAAGGTCATCTTCCCAGGGCTCAACAAGCTTTTTGATAATGTCAAGTGTCTCTTGAGCCGGTTCGGACCTTGAATGCAGGCCCACTGGTCTTCTCCTGGCCGGCGTGAAGACGATAGGGGCTGACAGGTTGCTTCCATGCCTCGAAGAGAACACCGTACGGGTAGTGGCGGTGCCCGTTACACCTTTGTCTTCCATCAGCTTCGAGAGATGCTGATCGTCACTGGCCAACACTGGTCCAATAAGGCGCTGATTAGAAGATGCTTCGGCTGCTGCCTCCAGGCTCAATTGGCCGTCGGCGCTGGAGTCGCTCTGGACGTTGATGGCAATGCCGTGCCCAGTGTCCGAGTGTGGGACGACAGAAGCCTGTTCAACACCAATCGTTTGAAGCTGCGAGATCTCCACGTCTCCCGGACCGTTACACTGGCGCCGATACCTTCGTTTCTGGGCTTTCGGCCGTGATGGAGGAAAGACGCAGGTACTGCCATGCGAGCGGCACATCATGCACGCAAGAGGCTGTTCAGGCTCAACTTTGCATTGAGATTTTCGCTGTCTGCATGCGTAGCACGCCGCGGTGCGCGACCTCGTCATTCCTGGATCCCGAAGTGTGAGGAGCAGAACTGAGGCTGATACAACGAAGACAACTGCAGATGCAATTCTGCGGACTGCTGCGGCTGGAGTGCTCTCTGCCCGCGGCCCGCGGGTCAAATTCCGGAGACTCCGTCAATCCAGAAAGCTGCCGTGTTGGGGTTCACTTTGATGACACAGATGGTGGAGTGCGAAGACTGGTATACGGATCATGGCAACCAGCAACGCCGCATGGTCGGAACTTCGAGCTCCCGGTGTCGAGTGAGTGACTACTGCCGACAAGGCTGCGAATGCCTCCAGCAACTTCAACACGAAGCGTCAGGTAATTGTCTCGAATTCACATTCATTATAAACATACGTCGCGGGGACATTGGAACGGCTTCATCCTTGAGAGCTAACATTAACATTCCTCCGAGAAACACAAGAGGAATTTGAGCAAACCATGGCGAACGAGCTTGTCATCTATACGTGCTTAGCATTAGCCACGATCGCATGCGTGAGACTGGTTTACACTGTAGGATCTGACCTCAGAGCCCTTAGCCACTATGTGAGGCTAACAAGCCAATGTTAGTATGCCTACAATGTCTACCTCCATCCGCTTCGCGAGGTGCCAGGTCCGTTTTGGGCGAAGGTCATAACCAACTATATATCCCATGGAAGTGGTTGCAGGGCTCAGGTATGCTCTATCTGGACCTCATGGCGTATCAGCCCTGACGTTTGTTTATCTTGACAGAACCTCCTTCGACTACACAAGGCATTCGGCTACTACGTGCGCATCGGGCCCAACGAAGTGTCAATCGCAGATCCCGACCTATATCGGACTATCTACAGCCAAACCACAAGTATCAAGCCAGATACTTTCTACCAGGCCGCGAAAATGAACCATGAGCACATTTTCAGTCTGAGGTACGCTTTCCCATCTTCGCATTCAGGTAGACAACGTAAATCTCGTGATACGCAGGAACCCGGCGTGGCACGCTGCACGACGGAAGATGCAGAGTCGTTCATATTCCCAGAAGGCCATCGACCAACACGAAGACCTTATTGCTGGCGCAGCGGAACAATTGAAGTCTCGTATATTGAGCGACGCTGAGGTTTCGGGAAAGACAGATGTCTACGAAGCCTGCCACTTGTTCAGCCTCGAGGTAATAGGCCATGTAGCCTTCGCTCATGATCTTTCACATGACCAGTTGATCGACGAGTCCGCTTTTCTTTAACATATGCACAACGGGATTACCATCTTACCAATTGCATCTGCGCTGGCCTTTACGAAGCCAGTCTGGAGAATGTTGCCAGGAAAGTTGGGCAACAAACTGAAGTCACTGCTGCAATGGGAGCATACGACAAGAAAGCTACTTCAAAGCTTTAAAGCGAACGTCAGCATCGAGAATGCCAACAATTACCTAGCTGGACCTTTCGTGTATGGGAAGGACAACTATCTCGGGAGGGGTCTCACCAATGACGAAGCGCTGGAAGAAGCAATGGGCTTGGGTAAGATCCCTGTGCAAACATCGAGCCTCCTCGTCAGGGTATTTGCTAATTGATCGACCGACGATAGCCTTCGCTGGTAGTGGTACCACAGCCACGACCATTCTGTACATCATTTACCAGCTGTCACATTCCGAGAATAGAGGCATCCAACTGAAGTTACGACAAGAGCTACAACGAGCACCATTACGACTGATTGAGCTTCGAAACCTTGTCTACTTGAATGCCATCATCAATGAAGGCATGCGGTTGCACCCGGCCATCGTGGGAAGCTTGCCTCGAACATTGTTGGAGAGTCTGGAAATCACGTTGGGTACTGGTCTTCGTGTCATCTTGCCCCCGGGTACGACGGTGTGTATGCAGAATTACGTACACCAGCAGGATGCATTGGCATATCCTGATCCGGATGAGTTTCGTCCAGAGCGATGGCTGGAGCAACCATCCTCAAGCAAGGCCTCGCAAGCGTTTACTCCTTTCAGCACTGGATCAAGAAACTGTATCGGACAGAGCCTTGCTAAAGCGGAGATTTTACTAGCTGTGGGATGCATATTTCGCCAGTTGGACTTCCAGCTTTCTGGAGAGACCACTCCAGGCGACATGGAGATGTTAGATTTATTTGCAGCTGACATTTCGGGCAAGAAGTTGGTCGTTGAGGTGACCAAACCTGGGATTGAAACGGCATCTGGCAACGCCAAGGTAGAATTTCCATAGGTACGATTCGGTAGAATGATCTCCCAATGAATGCCTGACGGGGAGCTCTTTTGCAAATGATGGGCTTTCTCAGATTGACACTGAACGCTGCTCAGACTTCCTCATTCACCGTATGTCGTACCTATCCAAGGGCGAACCCAACACTTTTAGCTCTGATTCTGGCTCCGAACCTGTACAGTACGAAAGGAATCGGCATCATCGCTGCAGCCACGAAACCAAAGATGCTAACACCCCAGCCGACACCCAAAGCGTGCAACATTTGCGAAGTGAAGAGCGGGAAAGCCACGGCGAAAGCGCTTCGCCAGAGGATGTTCGCCGCAAGAGCCGAAGCAGCGACTTGCTGAAAAGTATCGACGACGTAGCTGTTGGCTGAATTCATCACCGTCAGGAATCCGAAGCCCACGAAAACTATATACCATTGAAGTCAGCAGCGGATAAAGAAGGTTCTAAGTCCCGCGCTACGTACCAAGACCGATGTTTGGCACCAGCCAGAACACAGCCCTGCTCGACGACCAAGCCAACATAAAAAGCCCTCCTGTGAAGAAGACTGATCCAAGCATGACTGGAGGAAGTCGAGCTTCGGGGGCCGGCTTGCCACCGTTCTGCTTCAACCGCTTCATGTAGAACGGCTGGTTAAAGTAGGTAGCGGAAGCCCCTATCACGATTCCAAGAAGCATAGCAAGAAAGGGCAGGGCACCCACAACCTCGTTCCAACCTCGAACCTCCTGAAAGATGATTGGAATAGCGCTAAGGGACGCATAGAGGGTGCCGAATGCAAAGGCCTGATATCTAGTTCTCGGTCAGCACTGGTATCCGTGTCGTGCATACAAATACTGGCAGATAGAGTAGGAACTCACGTAGCCATAAGGATTCCAATTGGCGTCGCTAGGATCTGTACATCATGAGAACCTGTTGTATACAGTCACTAACAAGCACTTACTTTTGGTGGCCGGATCAAATAGGTTCTGGCGAGGTCTGATGCGGTGAATTTAGCCTCCTCATGGTTCGCATGTAGTGCCCAATTGCCTCGACGTCGCAAATCTTGAGCCTTCCATTTCAACAATGTGCCCTCGTGCGTCTCATCCAGCATTATAAGCCCCACAACGACCTGCGTCACGGCCCAAATGCCGCTAATATATTGTGTCCAGCGCCATCCGAGGCTCTTGTTTATGCACAGGGCGCCGCCTATTAGCGGTCCAACCATGGGTCCTCCGACGTTTGACACAGTATAAAGAGCCATTGCGGCACCACGCTTATCTGCCTGGTACAGATCAGCTAAGACTCCGCCGGCGTTCGAAATAGGAGCACTGGAAAACAGTCCTTGGAACTTCATCATCCTTTAGCAGTCGAAAACAACTCACTGTGAGAGTATGGCCAACTTACAAAACGACAGATCATAATGGTCTGGAGATCCTTAGCAGCACCTCCTCCAAACGCGAAGCACCCACCGACGAAAACCGGCACAAGGACAGATAACTTTCGGCCGTAGAGTTCGGATAGTGGCGCCCATAGCAGAGGTCCCACGCCGAAGCCAACAAGGAAAAGCGAGATTCCCAGGGTAGCCACGACCGTGGAAACATGGAATGCTTCTGATATTGGGACGATGGCGGTTGAGAATACGCTTGAGGAGAAAGTGGATGTCGTCGTTGTTGTCTGGCATGAAATTTGTTAGCTCGGTGGCTTGAGTGATGTTCATTCTGGGCTAATCACGGCGTAAAGCATGACCGTCGTGATTTTCTTCCGCCATGGCCAGTTTCGAGGTCGATATGGGTCCAGATCCGCATCGAAGCCGACCAGGTTCTCAGACGAAGTTTCTTCGCTGTCCAGAGGGTGATAGAGGTTCCATCGGGCATCCCGCATTCGAATCATGGACACGAGCCTTGAAGCTCGGTCTTCATGCTGCGTATGGCTGACCTTCTCCTCCATCCCACAAGGTTATGGTGAAAATGTGCGCTTTGCAAGATGAGGTGTCAAGGCAGATGATCAAGAGCGCCGCGACTCCTGTCTTTATGGCGAGCCAGCAGCATTATACGTTTTCATTACGATTGTCATGCAATCATTCCACACCGTCGATGATTCTCGAATCGTCATAGCCTGATCCTACTTGTAGCCGCATGATAATCCACTGGCCTACTTGACAAGGACAGTCGCTCTAGAGCAGCCGAGCTCTGCAAAGGCACAACCCGAAGACGCAGAGACATAATGTGTTTGAATCCAATCGGGCCGTACTTTGCTCGGGTCCCGAATGTCCCGTAAACCAAATACTGAAGCTGTCGCTCAGATGGTTGGACGTTTGCGGAGCATTCTACGAGGCGTGATCGGAAAACCGCCGGGGGGTGAATCCGCTGTTCTCGAAACAATGGGCGGAGAATCCGTGGCATCCGTGGGCAGTGGCCGTGGGCAGAAGTTTGTGTTGATATCTCCAGGCAAGACATTTAAATCTTTGTGAGGGTGGTGCCAAAGGCCGTGTAGCACGTGTAGAGGAGGTCATCATTCTAGCAACTACACAGTCGAGTACTGAATCATACTTGGATCTTCCAGCCAAATTCCGACTCTATCCAACAACAATTGCCCTAGCCTGCAGCTTTACTGGCTTGGTAAGCTATCCAGCGTTTTCGATGGCCCTGACGTGGATCCTGATGCCGGACTTTCGGCTACAAGATGCTATCCATTCTCTTCAGCTTCAGCCATACTACGACAGCTTCCACCACCGTGATGATGGCAAGTCCACTCCCCAAACCAATCCACAGCCCTCGAATGCCCAACTTGGGGGATCCAAGTTCCAGAAGCAGCGCCAGTGGCACGGCGTAGATGTAATTGACGGTGACGGTGACCCAAGCGCCAACGCTCTGCCAGCCAAATCCTCCGACAACACTATGCGGCCAGTTGGAGGTGGCATCGAAGACGACGAAGCCAGCAACATATGGCAAAGCGAGGACAATTAGATGGTCGACCTCAGCATCGTCCACCAGGAACCGCAGCATGAGTAGGATAATACCGCAGCTGAGCAGCGAGTCCATGATACCGATACATGCAAAGACCAGTGCATACCATCTCATGACTTTGACGACAGAAGCTGTCAATCCCGCTCCGACGAGCTGCCCGATGCGAGTGCTGTAAGCAATGGATGCCGAGAAAGGAATGTGCCACACAACAACGGCTGTGGTAGACAGGAAGGTTTGCGCCGCCAGAGAAGCCGTCCCAACATAGGAAGTGCAGAAAGTTAGGATCTCGAAGCAGAGCCACTCACTCAGCGACATTAGGGCCCCAGGAATGGCAAGTAGAACCATGATCTTCCAATTCTTCCTCCATCCAAGTCGGATCTGCTCAAATGATGGCCAACATTGGAGTGCTTCGGTGTTGACGAACATGGCGTATCCTGCAAGTAGCAAAGGAAGTACAAGATTCGTCACAGAAGCGACCAATGCAGCCCCGGCGACTCGCATTCCACCTCCTTGCACCAGAGCCCATGTGCAGAAAATCTGAATTGGCAGGCAGGCGAGGAGAACGAAGAATCCGGCCAAGAAATTGCCTTGAGCTTGCATGTACCTCTTTCCGGCTTCAAATGTCGCATACCCCGAGATACTAATCAGCAGATAGCGAATAAATGTTCCGGCATGCTCCGCAAGGGCACGAGATGGGACGTGAGCCAGCAGGAGAAGGTTATTGGAGAAGAACCAGAGCAGGGCGATAGGGATAGCAACCAGGTGCACGAAAACGGTGAAACGAATGGTGTGCATTCCAACATCGGTCAAGCGTGAGGCGCCATATGCTTGCGAACACAGAGTGTCGAGCGCTGTGGCCATGCCTTCGAAGATCGCATAGCCGATGATATTGCTGGTGGTGATTCCCAGCGAAACTCCAGCCAACTCGTCGGTGGAGAACCTGGAGGCGACAATGATGACGATCAGGGAGTTGGCATATTGCAGGAGATAGGTAAGGGTCAACGGTGTCGAATATCGCAGGAAGATGCCGGCTTCGGCTCGGAGAGATATCTCCTCAATGGCGGCAGAGCGATGGATCTTGGACAGAAGGTCGAGAGCTGTCGAATTCTCATCGTCGTTGCCGCTTCCTCTTCGTCGCAGGAGCGGAGTCGCTTCCGTCTCCAGATGCTGCTAATCGTGCAGAGTAGACATGTGTTGGGTAGACTAGGATGGAAGATACTTCATCCCATGAGAATAGGGGTAAAAGAGCGGCGCCTGTCTGCTGTGATGTTGATCAAGCAGGCGCACAAGACTTCGCGGTGCATTTCGATGGCGCCGTGTGCCGCGGCCAATGATTCGGAAGTCGTGCAGCGCCCAGTCTTGCCTGCATTGCTTGATAGCTGCGTCGCTGCCGCAAGCTCATCTCGTGTACCAATATACGCTTGCTTGAAAGCGGCTCCCAGTATCTCTTCTCCGTGTTTAATAATGCTCAACGCACTCATGTTATGCATGAAAAGAAGCTTGGGATATCAGATCGGGTCTAGAAAGCCAGTCGAATATATTGAGAGAATGCTCATGGATCCGATACCCAGCCTCCGTCCACCGCATAGGAGCTACCAGTCACCGCACTCGAGTCGTCACTTGCAAGAAAAAGAATTACGCTCGCCACCTCCTCAGGCATCAGATCTCTCTTCAGTGTTTGGCGGGACTGGACAAGATCCCGGTATTCAGTCGTCATGACCTCTACCGTTTGCCGCTCAGTAACAATGTGGCCAGGCATAACACTGTTCACTCGAATCCCGTCCTTGCCGTACTCTTTCGAATGGGTCCGCCCACTTGGGGAACCCGCCAGCTGATCGATCCCATGTTGATGATACTGCCAGAGCGTTGGCTTCGCATGCTCGGTACCACCGCCTGGGTCAAGAAGAAGACATGGCGTAGGTTCACATTGACATCCATATCCCATGTGAGCGGCGTGACCTCATCAGAGGGAAGGTGGCTTCTCGCCCCAGTCGCCGCGGCGTTGTTCACGAGCACGTCGACTCGGCCATAGTCACCAAGGACTTGATGGGCTGCAACATTCAGCTGCTGGAGATCCGTAACGTCGCAGAAGTAGAATCTAGGAACAGTAATACCTACTACAGGAGTTTCCTCTTAGAGACTTTTCATCTTTGCGATCAATCCGAGTGCCGACGACCTCTGAATATCAAAGACAACCACTTTGCTCCCTTGACGGCAGAACAGTTTCACCGCTGCAGCGCCAATGCCTTCGGCCCCTCCAGTGATGAGGACGACTTTGTCTCGTAGACTTGGGTATATCGCTGTTGAGCTTGACATGATGAAGTTATCATATACAAGTCGAAGTGGACGTCTTGTACGAGGACGGAGACCCTGATTATATCATGTCTACCGCAGGAAGCACGAACGCCTCCTTGCTGCCCCTGAGCTGATGGCTTCCAGAGGATCCGCAGTGCTGGTACAGTAGCCCGACCCAGCGCTCCGTTCGTGGCTGCAGCTACAGTAGAACAGCGGCAAGTCCGACGCCTACCCATTCCGCGCGTACGGGCAAGACAGCAGCGGTCAAGCCGACCACGCGTTTCACCTTAAGAGCAGGTCATCTGCGCTGGCATGAGCCGATCCCGACTCCGACTGAGGAGCAGTTCCAGTACCCTCGCCACACGGCCTGCAGCATCGATTGCGTACATGTATTGAGGCCTCGCCCTTGCTCATCGACTTGACGGTACGGCATCCATGCAGCACGATGACTTCAATGAGCTACTACCTGTTATCTTTGAGGCGGACGGCATCGGTGGCTGAAGTGCAACACGAATTGAAGGCTGAGGGTATCGCGCCCTTTGTCAATGCCCGGGCTGTGCAATGGGTGCATTTGCCCATGAGAGCCGACTACATGCTCGCAATCGATTGGGACGTGGTTCTGGGTCTCGGATCAGGCATTCAGCTCCCTGAGCGTGTTCTCCAATTGACAGACGCTCTTCACAAGGTCGATGTCTGTGTTGCATCGCCATCTCCGATTAACGACAAGCTCCAATCGACACTCCCCCCGCCACAACTATCCTTCTATGATCGACCACTGAGGGCGCTTTGCACTCAGTTTCACCAAATCACGCCGAGCATGCTGGCTTTCGCTGATCATCCGCTGTGTCCAAAGGGCCCGATTTCGATGCTGAATTTCGTGTCGTATCAACCTTTTGCCTTCGCAGAGGGCAGCTACCAAAAGTATCTCGAAGGTGTCCAAGCTGGTCCGGCGAAAAGATCTGGCGTCTCTGTCAAATTCAACGGCTCGCTGACTCCACTCCACGGAGCCAGAGCCACGGGAGAATGGGATCTGGTCTTCCTCGCGCAGTATCCTTCCTTCAAGCACTTTGTCGATATGGGATCCGATTCAGAGTACCAAGAACTCAACCGGAAGTACCGAATGCCAGCATTGCGGGATCTCTGCATTCTGATAACTACAGAAGTCGACCTCGAATGGACAATTCCAGGGAGCGAGAAGGTCAAGCCGGAAGTCTCGAAAGGGGTGATTGAATCAGCAAATCAATAAGAGAGCTTCGGGTCGAGCAGGTTGATGACTTTCGATGGCGCAACCCTCAACAGAAGGATCGTCAACAATCTGTCTTGTCGGATGTGGCGAAACCTGTTCCGGCTATCTCAGAAGATAAACCCCCCTTATATGAGGATCTCGAGTAGCGTATTCAAGTGGATCACGCTGGCCAAGTTGCTCAATCCGCTCTTACTGGTCGCGATCCGTACATGCCTGCAAGTCCTTGACATTAGATCTTCTTAATCGAGTTTCACTGAGGCGTATAATGTTGCAAGAATAGGAATCCTGCGTCGGGATGCGAGTCGGAAAAGGATTCCGAACGATCACAGCTGACGTCTCCCCTTCCGACGTCCTCTCTTTCTACCGGTTGGACGAGTACTATAGTATTCATTCGCGTTCCGCTGCCAGCTTGCGGCGGGCAGAACTGTCACTCAGCAAGATGATGAGGCGGCAGAAGATTGGGTTGGCGTGCGACGCTTGCCGCGAGCACAAAAAGCGATGCTCCGGAGCGACGCCCTGTGCGCGATGTCAGCGTCTATCGCGCGAGTGCACATATCGAGATCGAACTCTTGAATGTGGCGGCACATCCGTGTCGGCGACAAGGTCAGGCGCAATGGCTCCGACAGTAGGCAGGGGTAGCGGCAATTCAGACACGCCAGGGCTGAGCTGCAACGAGGCAGCTATATCGTCGTCTACCGCACTAATCCAGGATCCGTCCCGTTCGCCGAGTGAGCCGCTTGTAGTGGAGGCTTCGACCGGCCACTGTTTCGGTCCTATCTCCCCATTCTCCTGGGTACAACGAGCTCGCGAGCAGCTGGGACAGGCACAGTTCCTGGCACCGGCAGCCTTGTCGGCAACTTCGCCAATGGCGCTGGATGTCGATATGCTGTCGTTTGGAGATCGAGTGCAAGAAAGTCAGACCAAATACATGCGTGACAACATGGACATTCTCCAGGACGTCTCGGATCGATGTGTAGATCTTGTTGTTGCCGCCTACTTTGAGCAGGCTATGGCCACTTATCATTTTCTGCACCTTCAGAGTGTGAAGGGGTGGATACAGGACTTCAGACTCGGCCACCATGGAAAGCTGAATGACGCCAAGAGGGCAGTGTGCTGGCTCACACTTGCCCACGGAATGCTGCACTTGAAAGCCCACCTGCTCGGAATCCTCACCACCGCAGAACAGGACACGTTGTCTCCTGAGAAGCTATGCAGTACGCAACGATCGCTCTTGACCAGGAGCGAGGCAGCCCGTCCCTCGAGTCTGTTCAGGCCCGGCTGATCAAGGTCCACCACCTCCTCAGCTCATCCCGTCCCAACGCTGCATCATACCAGTTCGGCTTCGTCGTTCAGCTGAGCTACACTCTCGGCTTGCACCACAAGCGAGCGAAGCACGGGGTGAAGAATTTGCTTCAGTCTGAGCTCCACAGCCGGACATTTTGGGCCGTATACTCCACAGACCGCTACCTGAGTATCGTGCTCGGGCGACCATTGCTGGTGCACAGTGAGTTCATGACGCAAGGCTTCCCCACCGCCATCAACGACGAGGACTTGAGCGATGGCTGCAGCACATGTTCGCCATCACCATTCACGGACTGCACGACCTTGGCCAGCATAGTTCACGCCAAGCTGGCGCAGATTGTTGGCAGGGTGATAGTGCAGCACTACACTTTCACACGCGCGAGACTTTTCGAACAGATGCGTGAGAATAACGAAGCGCTGCAGCAGTGGAAGGCAGCATTGCCACCTTTTCTTTCAGGAGAAGTCAAGCCGGCGAGCCTTGTTCCGGTATCTAAGCGACAGTCGAATGTCCTCCGCATGTTCTATCTGCACTGTGTGATCTTGATCAATCGGCCCTATCTTCTCTACGCCTTCCAGAAGGGCGACCGACGTGGGCGCGGCGAGAACGGCTTGGAGTCCTATTCCGCTTGCATCGATGCTGCTGTGGAGCTGGCGAGCCAACTCACTGCGATATCTCGCACGGGCCAGCGAGTTGACATCTTCTGGTTCACGCTGAACATCACTTTCAATGCCGTGTCGATTCTGTACCTCCACGGACTAGTCCGGTTCCAAGAGGAGCGACGCCTGGCCGAAGAAGACGTTCGCTTGTTTGGTGTGGCCAAATCCGCGCATCAGGCCCTCGCGGAAGTCAGCCAAACAAGCCCTCCAGCGCTCAGGTACACTGTGGTGCTGGACACGTTGAGAGCAGAAGTGGATAGTTTGCCGTCAACATCAGGACCAAATCCGCTGGATGCTTCAACTCTGGACACTCCACGAGCAGGCGGTGGGATGTATGACGGCCCAGATATTCGAGGTGATTGGCATGCAAGCGATGATTATGGCGACCTGGACTTCTTGATTTCTGAAGTCTTGGAGATTCCCGGGGCGATGATGCATCCTTTCTCGCCGCTCGATACCTCGATCAGCTCCGCACTTGGGCAAGTCAATGATCACAATGTTTGATATGCCCAGCTTGTCCTCGTTCTTGATATAAGGGCGTAGCGGGTCGACTGCAGCGGTTCGAAAAAGTTCGCATGCAGCCCAGCAGGACGTTCCAGTCAGCGGCTCAGGAGAGACGTGTTGTTGTGTTTCCGGTCGCGGCAAGGGCTCCGGGATTAAACACTAGCGCCAACCTAGCGATGAGGCTGAAAACACGATAAGCTTTGACAAAGTCCCGAGGTCAACGGTGCGATGACGCTGCCTCCGTGAAGCTCGAGTGGTTCCTGTCCCAATGCGTACAAACCCGACAACAAGCAACCAGCTCAGTATGGACGACTTGGCCGCCGCTCGTGGCTCGCGAGCTCAGATGGAGTTTCTCCCAAGTCTCTCCGTCTCGCTGCCCAGTCGCTACCGCCCTTCACCATGGTCTTCAAGCAGCCAGACGAGCTCAAAGTCCCCGGCAAAGACATTACTTCGTGGTACTTTGACAACCCCAAAGTAGACGACAACAAACCAGTCTACATCGATGTCCAGAACCCGAAGCGTCACTACACCTTTGGCCAGGCCCGGAGCACCATCCGCAGGCTCGTTGCCGGCTTCAGGAAGGCTGGCTTGCAGAAGGGAGATGTAGTCTGCCTGCACAGCTTCAACGACATCAACTACCCCATCCTCGTCAATGGCATCGTGGCGTTTGGGGGCATGTTCGCCGGGACGAACCCCTCCTACCAACCCTACGAGCTTGCCCATGCCATCAAGGCCGCCAACATCAAGATGATCATCGTCGAGCCCGAGATCCTCAAGCACGCCTTGAAGGCAGCTGATGATGGAGGCATCCCCCGCGAAAGAGTAATGATCTTCGACAATCGGGAAGGACAACAGGTGCCAGACGGCTTCAAGTCGTGGAAGACACTACTAGAACACGGAGAAGAGGAGTGGGAGAGGTGGGATGATGTTGAGAAATCCAAGAACACCACTGCCGCTCGAATGTTCAGTAGTGGTACGACTGGTCTGCCAAAGGCTGCCATGCTCAGCCACTACAACCTCATTGCACAACACGTTCAGATCAACGAATGGCATCCAAAACCCTACGAGGTGAGGAAGTCGTGCCATAGGTATGCAGAAACTGGCTAACAAGTCGAACAGGAGAGACGAGTGGTAGCAACTCCCATGTTCCACGTTGCCACTGCTCCTTGCACCCATTTCTCACCTCTCAACAACGGCGTTCAGACCTTCGTCATGCGTCGGTTCGAGCTCGAAGGCTACCTGAAATGCATCCAAGACCACCAAATCACCGACGCCGCGACCGTTCCTCCCATCGTCCTCTCCATCATCCAATCCGACCTACGGCACAAGTACTCGCTCAAGAGCATTAAGTTCGCCACCTGCGGTGCGGCGCCTCTCGAGAAAGCACAGCAGGCTCGCTTCCAAGAACTCCTCGCACCAGGAGCGCCCTTTACTCAAGTCTTCGGCATGACTGAGACCACCTGCATATGTTCCAACTTTCCCTACCCAGAAGACGATGATACTGGGTCCTGTGGCAGGCCGGTTCCCGGCATCGAGTTCAAGCTCGTGGACGTTTCAGATGAAAACAAAGACATCACCGGCTACGATGTGCGTGGAGAGCTGTGCGTGCGAGGCGAGACTGTCATTCGCGGCTATCTCGATCAAAAGGAGACCGACAAGAGCTGGGACAAGGACGGCTTCTTCCACACAGGGGACATCGCCTACTGCGACAAGCAGACAGGCAAGTGGTATATCGTGGATCGTAAGAAGGAGTTGATCAAAGTCCGTGGATTCCAGGTCGCGCCGCCAGTATGTCGTGAACCCCAACAGTTTGAGCCGTTCTTTCGTTCAAGAGCTTGCTAACCTTCACCAGGAGCTCGAGGCGGTGCTGCTCGAACATCCTGGCGTGTATGACGCTGCCGTTATCGGTGTGCAAGTCAAAAAGGACGATTCGGAGTTTCCCAGGGCGTACATCATCAAGAGGGAGAACAAGGAGGGCAAGAAGCTAGACGCAAAAGGTGTCATGGAGTACATGGGAAGCCGACTGGCAAAATTCAAACGCCCTGACGGCGGCGTTGTGTTCGTCGATGAAATCGTAAGTCTTTGGCCGTGAATGTTCTCTGCCTGTAGCTCACTGCCTCCTACAGCCCAAGAACCCAAGTGGAAAGATCCTCAAGAAGAACTTGCGAGAAAGAGCAGCAGAGGAAATGAAGAAAGAGAGGCAGACATCGAAGTTGTAGGGAGAGGTTGGCACAAAGAGTCTCGTTTAAGTACGTTGATCAGATCTACGATGCATTGACGGTCGTATAGGCATATCACAACCGGCGCCTGGGTGAGCACTAAGATCTCAATGTCATTGTTTCTATAGTGGGCGAATACCTGTTTCAGTCTTCCTTGTTTGTCTTGCGTTGCTGGCAAGATTCCACAGCCAGGATTCGTACAGCCACGCCCCACGAAGTCAAAACTCGAGCTTGCGGTTTGCATGGAATCAGTATGTCCTGAGCATACTTCTAACGTCCACTTCATTCGGATTCTATCTCGTAGTAAGCAGGCATTATCTTACCCCCACTTTCTCATTAGACTATGACCACGGACGAAGTACCCTTTTCGGATACATTGTGACTGCAGAAGATGCAGATCCGCGATTCCATCACGGGGCTCGCGCAGGTCCAGACGAGCACTGTTATGTCTAACTTAACGAATGCAGTGATAGTACCTACTTGGAGCCTTGTAATCAATATGCGCTCACTATTCAGCCACCTAGCCAATTGGAATCGAATTGTTGGAATCGATGTCGCTCCCGCATTTGCAGCACGAATGGACTACATAAGAAAAGGAGCAATACCCAGTCCTGATGGAGCCAAAAATCTTTGTCTCTTCTGATCTTAGACACACACCATGAAGCTAGGCGCCGTCACTACTCTAGCATTTGGCTTGGCCGCGCAGTTGGTATCGTCTCAGGATGTCACCTAGCAGAAGGTAGGCTCTCTCGCACAACGCTGCGCAACGCTCGTGTATATTGAACCTACGACAGCTCGACCAGCTCAACAACGCTGCATACTCGACTAACGGCAAGATCGAAACCACCGGCGAAGGTGTGCAAGTCAACACGTCCAATTCCCTTCGTGCGGGGCCTCGAGGCTATAACCTCCTCGAAGATACGTCAGGCCGCAAGAAATTGATCCATTTCGATCGCGAGCGCGTTCCAGAGCGAGTCGTCCATGCCCTCGGCTCTGGGGCGTATGGTCAGTTCGAATCCTATGGCGATTGGAGCAATATCACAAGTGCTTGTTGGCTACAGCAAGGAGCGAGAAGCGAGGCTTTCACCCGGTTCTCTGTCGTTGTCGCTAGCGCTGGAGGCAGCGAAGTGAACAGAGACACACACGGGTTTGCAACCAAGATCTATTCGGAATGCGGCAATCAAGACCTTGTCGGTAATCATGTGCCGTCGTTCTTCATCAATGACGGAATTGACTTTCCAGATCTGATCCATTCCGTCAAGCAAGAAGCGAACAAGGGATTTCCAACAGATGGCACTGCTCATCCAACGGCATACGACTTCTTCAATCTGCATCCCGAGGGGTCTTTCCAGCTCATGACTGTGCTGTCAGATCTGGGTAAGCTTGGGCACGTCCAATGGCTTCAAGATATCACTCGCTGACAGAACAACAGGCATCCCACGGGACGAACGACATATTCGTGGCAACGGAGTACACACATATCGCTTTATCAATGCGGCCGGGAAGTCCACGTTCTTCAAATGGTACTGGATGCCCACGCTGGGACTCCGGTCCTTGGTATACGACGAAGCCACCACCCTGGCCGGCAAGCAAGCGAACTGGCAGCGGATCGATCTTTTCGACAGTATCGAGGCTGGGAACTACCCGGAATGGGAACTGGCAATTCAGATGTTCCCTGACGACGACACATTCATGTACAAAGGTTACGACCTTTTGATCCCTACGCAAGTCATTCCTTTTGATGTTGCTCCTCTGGTTAAGCTGGGCAAGCTCACCCTCAACCGCAACTTCCGAAACTTCTTCGCCGAGCCAGAGGCCATCTCTTTTGCGCCCTCGAATGTTGTCGACGGCGTCAGCTGGGTCCCAGATCCCGTGCTCCAGTGGCGATTGATGTCCTACGATGACACTGCTTCACATCGCCATGGCTCCCCGAACAGCTACCTCCTGCCCATCAATAGGGCCATTGCACCTGTCAACAATAACTACCGCGACGGCTACATGCAACCGCTTATCTTTCAAGGCGATCAGACGTCGACGCCCAACAACTTGGGCGGGGTCTCGTCCGCCAGTGCCAACGAAACGCTACCGTACACTTCTCCAGGAGAGACTGCTGGTCAAGGACCGATTGGAAGATACGCTCCATCTTATGACTCTTTCTACCAAACCAGAATGTTCTGGTACGGCCTTGGACAGTACGCTCAGCAGCATACCGTGGATGCATATCGCTTTGAGCTTGCCAATGTTGGTGACGCTACCGTCGTTCAGCGTTACATCGACGAAACTCTGAACAACATCGACAATTGCCTAGCACGACGAGTCGCCTATGGGATTGGAGCCACGATGCCGCCTGTAGGCACAGGTGCAGTGTCTAATAACGCTACCTACCCGAATTCGTACGCGTCATCGTTTTACACTCTGGACACCAATGTGACGAAGAGCAACGTTGGCCTTCAAGTGGCCGTCATAGCGAATGACACACTACTCACAGGCGGTGATGTAGCGGCAATGATCTCTTTGCTATCTGCACAGAAAGTCAGCCTCACTGTTGTTGCCCCTAAGATTGGGACGCTCGCATCAGGTGTGAATGCAACTGCTTCATTCCTTATCTCAAGCAGTGTCTTCTACGATGCTATCTTCATCGGGTCGAGCGGCAATGCGTCTTCTACGAATTCTGCATCGCTCACCGCAGATATGGCATCTTTCGTGGAGCAGGCGTACTCCCATGGAAAGCCTATCGGTGCTCTTGGAAGCAGTGGACCGGCTTTCCTGGCTGGTCTGGGTATTTCGAACCAGCCTGGCGTCTTCAGCGGTGCCGCTGGTGCTGTCACGACAGAGGTGCTGGATGCGCTGAGTGGGCCTGTGAGATTCCCGCAACGATTTCCTACCGATGATCTAGCTGCCATCTGTCGTTGATTTGTGTTACCGATCATGACGCTACTGGACAAATATTATGGCTTGAGACGAGAGCTTTGAGATGGGAATGCCGTAGAAACAATTCTGTCAAATTCTGTCGCTAGATGATATAACTTGCCACACGTCTGAAACTACCTGAACTCCTTCAACAATGGCACTCTCTCCCCAGTATACCCGACCCTTTCCATCCACTCCTTCGCTGACTTGACACGATTGGGTAGAATCTCATCAAGGAGCTGGTAATCTCTCTTCACCAGCCCTACGTTTCTATTGCTTGCTTTGTACAAGTTGAAGAAGTTGGTGAAGTTCTCGCCGTAGGTCATGTTCAAATTCTCCTCCGCTTTGCCTGATCGAAATCCGCGAGTGATAGTCCACGCAGTCAAGGATTTGGGCTGGCCCTGGATAAACGCTGCGAGCGCTTGATCGGCTCTTGCTTTAGGGACTAAACGCCAGAGAGGACTCACCTTGGACTCTGGACTTCCCTTGGAAGTGTCCAACGTAGGATTTTGGATCATAGCCTGAGTTGCGGAAGTGATCATCCAGACCACTGTACACTACCTGCTGTACACGAGCTTTCACGGCCGTCTCGTACAGTCGTATACCCCAGTATGTCTCTGCCTCTTCGCCGAGCGCGAAGCCGTCAGTATTAAGAAAGACCCCGTATGATCTTCGAGCGGCGGCCTCGAAGGCTCCAAGGTCGTATCCTTGTGGTGCTGGGTTGATCGCTGCCTCGACATTGGGCAACTTCAGCAACTCTTGACACTGGGAAGAGTCTGTGCTGCGAGTGAAGAGAATGATTCCAAAGTCACCCGTAGAAGCCAAAACCCGAACCACAGCCGCCCCTTGGGCACCGGTGCCGCCAACTACAAGAATCTTCTTCGCTGAAGACATTGGTAAGGTGGGTGTGTTGTGCGTTTCCGATGTGTCGTCTGTCTTGTGAGTCCCCGATGAGTTGGGTGCAGACGGCCTGAGGCCATACTTTATAGCCCAACCCTTTCTTATCTCGAACCATGCTGGACGCCGCAAGGCCCTGCTTGATGCTTGGATCAACGTACAGTGAGTAAGCAATGGCCAGATGGAGATGAGTGATCATGGAGCTGAGCAACGCCAGATATCAGGTACAGGTCGTAGACTTCGGAATCATCTACAAAGCTCATAGGCAACAAGGCCATCAGGATGGAATTCGCAAGCAACTCGATTTGTGATGAATGGCTACGTCCGTACCCATCCGGCCTCGGTTGCAGAGGTACGCGCGAGACATGGTGTTGCTGATACATATTCAGCGTCCCACAACGTACGAGATGAATTTGATGAGAAGTCGTCTTCGATGTTGTGAGAGCCTCTCGTTAATGCAAAGCGAGAAGTAACGAAGAAACACGTTATTAGAAACCCGTAGAGATGGTTGAACAGAATGAGTGACGTCAGACTATTATAGTAGCGGAATAATAATTTTCCGCAGTTGTTCTCTCTCGCATGCTTGCCGTCATCTCTCAAGATCTTCGCACCACGTCCTGTAGCTTACATGAGTCGAGAGCATGTAACATTGCACGTTTGCGTTCTGAAGATGCCCAGGAAGATTCGATAGAGTTGCGGACTAATCGATCCATGTCCTCGAGCTCGAGCCCCTCATCTGACAGTGCCTGCAGATTGTCATTGATATATGCTTCAAAATGTCCTGGATCGTCTGAGTGAACGCTGCATTTCAAGCCTTTCGCCAGCATAAGACGTATTGTGCCTGCTCCAGTATCCTGATGCAGCAAGACGTTCGTCCTCGGGCAACATGTTATCCCAAGTTCCTTGTCTCTGACCAGGACCGTCAAAGACTCGTCATCGAAAATGCACGATGCATGGTCGAGCCGATCTACCTTCAAATCTTCTACCGATTGCCGTATCTGCTCGATGCCATCGGAAGGCATTATATCGCAGTGCGCAGTAGTGTTAAAGCCCATCTCTCTTGCCTTCTGGAATACGTCTTTGAATTGCCGTGGCAGGCTTTGTGTCGGATCCCCGTCCAGACCAACTCCCGTGATGATATTTCTAAATGGTGCAGCGTCTTGGAGGACACGCATAGCGGATTCCACCGACTTCTCGCGGAGGAAGCACATGATTAGTGAGAAGCTCATGTCGTGTGCTGTGCGTGCATAACTCGCTGCCCTTTGAACACCGGCGATGATGGTTTTGAATTCGATTCCTCTCTCGAGATGCGCCTGAGGGTCGAAGAACATTTCAACATGCATGACGTTCTGCTCTGCGACCTTGTCTACGTAATCACGCACGACCTCGTAGAAGTCGTGCTCCGTGATCAAAACCTGCATGCCTTTGAAATATCGGTCGAAAAACATCTCCAGGGCCTTGTCATGTCCAGCGGAAGTTTCTCCATTGTCCAGGTCTACATGTACTTCATTCCGTATGGAAAGCCGATGGATTAATTCTGGGTACAGGCAGCCTTCCAGGTGGACGTGCAGCTCAGCCTTTGGAGCGGCTGCCATGAACGCTCGGATGCCGGATTGTCGCGGGGGAGGTTCTCTGCCCTCCATTGTCGTCGCCCTTGCCGTCGCAAAGATGCTGCCAGCTGACATTGGGTGTGGTAGTTTGTAAGCCGAGAAGGTGAGGTACATGGGTGTTGTAGGGTCCACGGGGAGATCTAATCCCGAGAACCCCGAAGAACAATCTACTACCAGGCGTTATAGTAATAATTTGTACCTGCCTACGTAAAAGCCCTGGTGCCTATGTAAATCCTGCGCTGCACTCGCTTCCTATTGATCATTTCTTTCACACAGCGCTTGCTTAATGTCTTTACTACCCCTGTCACAAGATTCGGCCTCAGGTTGCGCATGCACACTAGACGGTTTGAACTTTACTAGCGTTTGTAATATTTAAAAGTACTGCTGTCCAGTCAACGAAATAAGAGCAAGACCAAGTTTATCACACATCTGCCTTTCAATTTTCACCTATTGAACGGCGTTTTGCAAACACACCTCTACGAAAAATGCCAGGCCAAAGAGCGTTGCTGGTCAGAGAAATCGGGAAGCCACTGGAGCTGGTACAAGACCATCCGATTCCAGAGCCGGCGGCTGGGCAAGTCCAAGTCAAAGGTGCATACGAACTGTTTGCCCCGGACTTTACATCATCTCGCTGACGTATCTGATTTCACAGTGAAGGTTGCGAGCCTCATTCCCTCGGATCAATTCTCGAGAGATTGGGGTCTTCTGGTCACGGACAAGTTACCTGCAGTTCTTTGCAAAGATGTCATGGGCATAGTCAGCAAGACGGGACAAGATGTCGACTCGCTGCAAGTTGGAGACCGAGTGATTCATCGAGCGGAAGTTGCGCCTGGCTTCGTGGAGGGCGGACTGCAAGAGTACGCCATTACCGATGCTCGCTTTCTGGCAAAGCTCCCTTCCAGCATCAATGATGACGAAGCTGTACGTTCTCCATGTTACTGGAAGACAAAAGAATGTGACTGACCACGATACCACGCATGCAGGCAACCATACCGACCAATCTCACTTCGGTCGCAACAGCCCTATTTGTTACACTGGGCATAAGCCCTCCTTGGACTCAAGACACGCCATCGGAAAGACCGCAATCAATTTTGATCGTCGGCGGTGGCAGTGCATGTGGTCAATTCGCCACTGAATTGGCAGAGATGGCTGGCATTTCCCAGATTGTTCTGGTTGGAGGTGACGAACCGAACTTGAAGGCTCGAGGTGCGACACATTTTATTGATCGCCACATTGAGGACGGAGACATAATCTCGAAGATCAAGGAGATTGTCGGCGACAAGTTACTCTACGCATTGGATACAGTGAATGCGGCACTGGGGCTCCATGTAGCCTTGTCGGTTCTTTCTCGCACTAGCCAAGGAAAACTGGCACGTCTTGTACCAGTCGGGCCGCTAGAGGACATGGAGACATACGGTCATAAAGTGCTTGATGTATTCGGTGAGTCTAACAAAATAATGCCAGGTCTCCTTGGGTTGAAGCATGCTAACAGTGTTAAGCCAACGAATTCGTAAAGCACCCTGACACTATGGCTCTATGGGAGCGTCTCCCGGGGTACCTGCAAGCGAGAACGATCACGCCTACAGCATTCGAGGTAAAACAGCCTCACGGGCTCCGTGCTGATGTGGTCAATGCTGTACTGGATGCGTATCGCGACAATAAGAAAGTTGTCAAGGCGAACATTCACCTCTGAGACTCTAACTCACGCTAGAATACAGCATTAAGACTGGCGGTCTCGAGACTTTGTGTATTACTCCGCAATGCAGCGAACATATTTCTACATAATCGATCGGATAAGCATAATGTAGAGCAAGAAGAGGAGGAGGAGCGGGCAACCGAGTCCAAGTAGTCTCCTAGCCCAGCTAGCATGAGGCTGAGCGGCAACAAAGCCGAACATGAATGTCCACATCGGCCCTTTCTTTTTATCGCCCGTGCCATTTTTACCACTTACCTCATCGGAACCATACTCTTCGGTAAATTGGGCTACAGCATACGATGGGTTCAGTCCAGCCAAATGGACCCAAGAGGCACTAACAAGGACATCTTGCCGTCCTGATGTTTTGAACACTTCGCTTGCCTAATGCCGTTCAACTACATCGCAAGCTTTGTGTGGCCATGGACTTCTTGCCGTGACCGCAGTCACTCCAGCATCACGGTTGCAGCGTATTTCAGCATCGTTAGTTTCGTACCTATCACGGTCCGACATCGTTCCACGTCTGCGACCTCGTTGACCTGGAAGAGAAGAACTACGAGGAAGGACATCCCGGAGACGAAACATGGACGGAGACTGCGACCCAGACCCTCGACAATATTTTGGCAGACACAAGCTGTCATTACCCTCTCCGTCTCTGTGCATCTCTCTTCCCATCGTCAGAAGCAATGCCGCTCAACTCCATGACAACATCAACAAGGCTGCAGTCACCTTGCGAGCCCACCTAAAGACGAACAAGGTACGGTCACAGTTTTGCCATCTTTCTCAGCTAAGAAATCCCATAGACTACGGAAATTACACGCATTATGCTGGGCAAGATCACAAAAAAGGTCGCCATCTCTACGTTAACCGAGGCTCAGGGGCTGAGATCACTCATAGCTGATGGAACCGTCGATGATGTTTGTATTTGCACGCTGTCAAATGCCAGGCTAATTATTTGATCTAGATTCTTTGGGCCATTCCAATCAGTCCGTCCGTCCTGCCTGCTCTGGATCGGCTCTCACGCCAAGCCAACCTGCACTTTATGGTCGACCATCTTGATCAGATATACTTTCTCGCCCAATATCATCGATTGCAGTCAATCTCGGAGCCCTGGTCCCTCTTCATCAAACTTGACTTAGGGAGTAAACGAGCTGGTGTGCGTCCGGACTCGCCACAGCTGCCGGCTCTTATGAACGCTATTGAGTCCAGTTCCGCAGTGAAATTGACAGGCATCTACTCTTACCCAGCCAGGATGGGGAGAAGTTGGAGCTTCGATACCGCAAAATTGGTCTTGCAGGAGCATGTCTCGGCACTGAAAGATGTGGCAAGCCTCCGGTCAAAGCCTTCCAGTTCACTGGTCTTAGCGATCGGCTCTTCCATCACAGCCAGAGTCATAAAGTCCGTTGATATTGATTTGCCGTCCAAACTTACTTTGGAGATTGTAGCTGGTCGGTCTATCCCACTCCATGTCTTTCATTGCTGAATTTCAACACAGGAACGACAATCTATAACGACCTCCAACAGCTTGCCACAGGCACTATCACACGTGCAGATCTTGCGATGACTGTGATAGCCGAAGTCTGCTCAGTGTACGAAGACCGCAACGAAGTATTGATCAATGCCGGCGTGCTAGCTCTCACTCGTGAGCCTGGCGACATTGTTGGTCTTGCACGCGTACGAGGCCTCGAGCATGAGGGATGGGTGGTGGAGCGCGTCAGTCAGGAACACGGTATTCTCGTTTATACCGGCTCGCAAAAGTGTTCCGTTCAAGAAATGTGGAAGATTGGGAACAAACTAGTGCTGGATGTCCAACACACTTGCATTGTGGGGGCAATGTACGGCTGGCACTTCATCACGGACGAGGAAGGCATTGTGAGAGATGTGTACACACCTTGGAAGTGGTGGTAGCTAAACATAATTCCCTTCATGAACGTAGCATAGCCCGGTGTGGTACATGTTCTACTGGACGGCTATCTTGCCGTGAGCCGGTCCAGACTTTCTTAGACCAGTAATTCTTCTTGCGTGCAGCGGACAGATTGCCGTGGCCAACCACCTACTCCAAGTTAAAAGTTTCTTCCGATCCAGATCTGGGCGTTCAGAAGCTCCCATATTGCGAAATTCACTTCCCGTGTCATCATATCTTTTTTCCTGCCTTCAATTGCCACTTTCCAATGGCCGCTACGTCTTATAGCCACGTCGCCCCATTTGACACTGGCTATCTCCGAGTCGGGTCGATCCATCGAGTATACTACGAGCAATACGGAAATCCGAAGGGGAAGGCGGCACTGTTCCTTCATGGTGGGCCTGGAGGCAACATATCGAAAGACAACGCAGGTTTCTTCGATCCCCAAGTCTACCGTGTTGTCTTGTTCGACCAAAGGGGCGCCGGGAAATCCACGCCGTTTGGAGAGCTCAAAGACAACACCACACAGCACCTGATCGACGACATTGAGGTCTTGCGACAACATGTGAATGTCAACAAGTGGCACGTAGTATTCGGTGGCTCGTGGGGATCGACTCTGGCTCTCGCATACTCACACATACATCCACAGACCGTTGGGTCCCTGGTCCTCCGTGGTGTACTACTGGCCACCCCTGAGGAGCTGAAGGACATCCATGAGAGCAAAGCCTCTACGACCTTCTTTCCTGACGCTCACGAGGAGTGGCTGCAGTTCCTCCCAGAGAATGAACGGTCCGAACCCATCGACGCATACTACCGCATCCTCACGTCTAATCAGCTCCCAGAAGCGCAGAGAATAGCAGCGGGTAAGGCGTGGAACAAGAGAGAACTCAGAATGGGCCAAATGAGAGACGATAGTCATGCGTTGCAAAAGCTGGAGGACCTGGATTGGGTGATTGCACACTCCAGGCTCGAAGCTCATTACGTCTCAAATGACCTCTTCATGAAGCCTGGCCAACTGATGGAAGAGCACAATCTTGCCAAGATTCAAGCGATTCCTAGTATGTTGAAAGCAATGTCTCACTGTTCCCCTCTTGAGCAAGGTAACTGACATACAAGAAGTGAGTATAGTTCAAGGCCGATACGACATATTGTGTCCGCCGAAGGCTGCCTGGGCGCTACACGCAGCGTTGCCCAAGTCAGAGTTGCACCTCATCGCAGGTTCTGGCCACAGCACAAGTGTAAGCACGACACGTAGGAGTGATGTTGACTTTTCTGATGCAATTCCAGGAACCCGGCATCAAAACCAAGCTCATCGAGGTTTGCGATCGCTATGGCAGCGAGGCGTAACTTGTTGAAAGCTTTGGAACAAGTTTGGCATAAGATATGTACAGAGTAAAGGAAGGAAGCTCAAGTTTTTGGGCGCGACCCTGTTGTTGTTATTGTTGTACTGTCTCCTGATATCTCACGCCCCTGATCGTCGCCATTGATGCCAAAACGGGACTAACACAGCATGGCTTGTCACAAGATGAGACTCCTCCCAAGCCGAGGAACCGAGATGGCTGGAGCTGAACCGGCTTGTGCCAGTGACGAGTTCAACAACACTTCGACAATAAGAACATTCTTTCCTGCCAGGGATATACCCCCCGTCACCATACTCCAGCGAAGATGGAAAGTTTGCAGCCTCACATTGACACAGCGCGCCAGTTCGTTCTGGCGAAGCTTCCGGCGAACCGCAACACCCAGATCTTGCTCGCCGGAACCACTCTCTCAGTAGCCGGTGCGGTGCTCTACCCTCTTGCATACTACTGGTCGCTGGGTCGCCAATTGATCCTCACCCATCCCAATGCTTCGTCCCGCTCGGCCTCCCTGGACTGCGGCGAGATCAGCTCCCTAGATGAGGACATGATATCGAATCACAAATACTACCGCATCAGTCACGACAAAGTTACCAAGCGCATCCCGACTTTTACCGTAACGCTCTCTCCGAAACATGAGAGAATGTTCACAGCCATTCTCCGACACAGCTTCGAGCTTTTCAGTTATCGTTCTCTCCAAGGGATCTACCTTTACAGAGCCTTCCCCGAGGACAAACATACATTCACCAAGGAATACCTCCAGGACTGCAAGTTCCAGGAAGGCGACATTGTCTGCGGCGTGTACGAAGTCGTCAAGCGGACGCCTCTACGATGCGAGCTGGCTATGCGTAGCAAGAAGTCGTTTGGCCCTATCGCTGGGTTGATAGTGGTCAGCCTGAGACCTCGTGGCGAAGGTGCGGTGTTGACGAGTGAGACGGTACAATGGACGAAGAAGGCCAATGGGATCTATCTTCCTCTTGAGAAGTGGTGGGCGAAGTTCTTGCACAACTACATCTCCAGGTATACAGTCACGTCAGCGGCCAAGTACCTTGAGGAACTCGCTAGAACAGGAGACGTGTAGGCGAACATTGAGAATTGGGACGACAGGTGACTGGAAAACAGCCCCTCTAACAGGAAGATTTGAAGTAACGAATCCTCCCTTTGTATTTCATAATAAAGTTTGATCTCACCATCGCTTTCATCGCTCTTCCATCATATTCTACATGTAGTCGTATATCTGCTGCTAGTAGACTGGATCACACGGACGAGACAGAGCGGCAAAGAGAGTCGAGATAAGCATATGCGGTGACATATATTCTGCGGTACACGGAGCTGTTTGGTAGCCTGACGCATGCCGAGAAGGAGATGTAAGTTATAGAGAGAAGATGAAACAATATGCTCACTCCCCGACGCCCTTGTGTCATCACAGCGATCAGTCGTGAAAGTCTGAACGTCTGAGGTTGCGGTTGTCAGGAGTCGGATTCTACGGACATCACGTCCGCCAGGTGATGCCAGGCTCAGAGCAAGCTGGAATATATCGCACCACGCCCTCTCTTCGACGCGTTCTCCGTGAAAACCATACTTCAGCGTTCTCTTTGTGAAGTAATTTTCAAAATTTAATATTGGGCTACTTAGACTCGAACGCCTCTTCCAGGCTTGAAGCGAATAAACATACACTGGTATCAATCCTCGATGAGTGTCCATTATTCCGCTCAATTTCCGTTGATCACGTTTGCAGTAACCCCGTTAGCAGACGCTGGCCAGCCCTCTGGCCACTTACTCCTGATGTCCTCCCTCATATCATAGGAGTTCATCTCCGTGATCGTCAACTTCTTCTGCTCATCCTTAACCTTGTAGAGTGGATTGTCCGTGTTATCTGAGAAGCCAATCCGCTCGTGGATGTTTTCTCTGGCCCTGGCACTTGCAGCCTGGACTTTGGTGGCTCTGGGATGTCGTACACTCTCGTACAACTTCAGGGCCTCACGAACACTGCCGGGATATAAGTCCTTGCTGAATACGAGCCCGAGGGCAGCGGAATCCTCGATCGCCATACAAGCCCCTTGTGACTGGTCTGGCATCATTGGGTGTGCTGCGTCGCCCATGATACAAGCGACGCCCTTTTGCCAGTGTGAGTAAGGCTCGTGCACCCACAATCTCCATGGACGGATCTCTTGTCCAATGCCAAGATGTCCCAGAACTTGACGGTCGAGATCAGGGTAAGGGGCGAGAAGGTCCTCGACGGTCGAAGAAGCGTCCCATTTCTGCTCGGAGAAGTCACCCTTTTCCCGAGGGAAGAAGCAGTAGTATGACAGCAGGGTGCCCGAGTTGCAGGGCGAGAGGACGATCTTGTTAAATGTGTGATGGCCTCCCCAGTACTCAATGGCGGAGTCTTTCGAGTAGTCTGGAAGACCAAGTTTGACTGCCTGCTCAGTGGTGACGTTGGCGTGCAGACAGCTGGAGTCGGCGGGTCTCTTCTCTACTTGGATGCCAATGAGTTTCCGGATGTTGGAGCCAATCCCGTCAGCACCAATGACAGCCTCGTGCTGAGCTTTCGTGCCGTCATGGAATGTGATGGTGCCGTTCTCGGTGTCAAGATCAACGGTCTGGGGAGCAAGTCAGCTGGTATTTATCACCATGCTCAGGAGCCACCAACCTTGTGGTTAACTATGAGCTTGACCGGAGTACCAGCTCCCTCCGATTGCAAGGCAGTGTCCATCAACATCTTGTGCATGTCTTGACGATGAAACATGTAATACCTCGAAACATGTCAGCTTACTGTACGTCTCCCTCTCTGAACCCGACGACAAGACTCACGGATGGCCCCATTTCTCTTCGTAATCATTTAAATCATACACGCTGACAGGCTCGCCAGATTCCCAGTCGCGGTTGATCAGTTGACGCAAGTACACGCCGTCACCCTTGGCAATGTCGACTTCCCATTCCCGTAACCACTTGACTCCATTCGCAGCACAGGAGATCGATGCACCGACTTCGCCGGCAAAGTCTGCTCGTTCGTAGATGGTGACCTTATGACCAGCTCTCCGAAGAGAAATCGAGACTGCCAGACCACCAATTCCTCCGCCCACGACGGCGATGTCGAGATGCCTCCAGGCTTCTCCGGGTTGAAGTGTGTTCGTTGCTGAAGGCATGTCTGCTTCCTGGAGTGTAGGAGATGTCAGGGTTGTTGTCGATGGATGTAAGTAAGATCCTTCACCTCGAACAGCGCTCTTGAAGTCATCTTAATATTGCTTTTCGCTATCGTCAACCTAGCCACATGCCCTGAGCTAACTCTTTGCCTATCTCAGAGTCTGCCATCCTGTTTGGTGGGATACCCGAGGGAGCGAGGGAGGTCGAGAACTGCTCGGGAGTGTTCGGACCGTGCACCTGGGTACTGGGCTGCCCACGAGACGGACCGTCTGACCGCCGAGCGCCTGCCCTACCTCCTTCCGCTCCTCAAGGTTGTCTGAAGTCACGATAATGGTGAGAGTGATGTGAGACTCCAGGATTATGTGCTGCGGCTGAGAAGCTGCGAAGTTGCTTACTTTGAGACGGACGGAGTGATGATGGCCATGATGGACGACATCCATTCTGATAAAGGGCAGGGGAGACATCATTAGACTACATCAGTTATTGCTACCTCAAAATGAACGGCGTCGACAAGAACCATGCGCTTCCGGCTGGCGGCCTGGGACACGCCTACACCGAACAGGTCATCAAGTCGATCGGGCCCAAGACAGACGCCAGATTGAAGAAAGTCATGACCTCTCTCATTCGCCATGTCCATGATTTCGCCAGAGAGGTTGACTTGACCTTCGATGAATGGATGGCTGGTGTCGAGATGGTGAGTCTAGATACTGAGTCCGCTGGGCGGCGTGAATCACATTTAGCTCAGAATCGTCCAAACATGTAGATCAACTGGGCCGGGCAGATGAGCACGAACAAACGCAACGAGGGACAATTGCTGTGCGATGTCATTGGAATAGAGTCGTATGTTTTCTCTTTAACACAGTCTTGGGGGAAGAATTAAGCCTGATCGGCGCTAGCCTGGTCGACGACATTACGTACCGCAAGGCTGCGGAGGCAACCGACTCGGCCACAGCATCAGCTGTTCTGGGTCCGTTCTGGCGACACGACACTCCCTTGCGTGACTTTGGTAGCTCCATCACATTCAACACGCCTTCTGATGGTCAAGTTGCCTATATTCATGGGACCGTCACAGACGCAAAGACCAAGGAGCCACTAGCCAATGCCTTGGTCGATGTGTGGCTGGCTTCTACGAATGGTTAGTACTACACGAGACATGTGAAGCTCTGCTAGCTCACTAATTGTTCTAGGACTATATGAGCAGCAAGATGACGATCAAGTTGAACACAACCTCAGGGGCAAGTTCCTGACTAATGAGAAAGGGGAGTACGTTTTCTACAGTCTTCGTCCAACCCCATATCCTGTAAGTATAGCAGTATAACATCGTCTAGTTCGCCAGCTAACAGCGATAGGTGCCTTCGGATGGACCAGGAGGAAAGTTGATACAGCTTCTTGATCGACCTCTTTACCGTCCTGCACACATTCACTATATTGTAGACTATTTCCACCCAATACTGCTCATTCGCCGACTGTAGTAACCGTAAACAGGTCACCGCCGACGGCTACAAACCAATCACCACACAGGTCTTTGACTCGTAAGTATTATCTACTCACGAAAATAGAAAGGTTGTCACGCTGAGATTCGTTTAGGGAGTCCAAGTACTTGGAAAATGATGCGGTCTTTGCGGTGAAGGATGAATTGGTCGTCAAATTCGTGCCCAGGAAGGGAGACCCTCAAGCCGAGTTGGAGCTAGAATACAACATTTCTCTGGCTAAAGAGGGCGAACAGGGCGTGTCTGACAAGCCGCTTGCTCATCCAGGATATTGATGCGTGTGCCAAACACGAAACCTTGATCAGCTTTCCAAATTTGAAGCCCTTCGAATTCGTGTAAAGGGCCCAAGTTGTATTTCGCTCCTCATGCACTGTCATCCTTGAACTTTCCCAGCTTGAAGAGCTGCTTCGCGTTATCTCGGCCAATCTGCTTCACGGTCTTCTCTCCATCCAGCTTGACCCCGTCGTACCAGTTGCACGCATCTTCAAAACTCTCGAATGGATAGTCAATCGAGAACAAGATCCTCTCGGGTCCCAGCTCCCGAACACAGTACTCCAAAGTAGGAGTCGAGAAGTGTCCGCTCGTGGTGATCCAAATGTTCTGGTCGAAGTATTCCCGAATCGTCTTCTTGCAATCCAAGCCCAGCGGCTTCTTAACGTCCTCAAACCAGTGGTTGATCCTCCAGAGATCAAAGGGAATGTGCTCGCCCAAATGGCCAATGACGACCTTGAGCTTGGGGAAACGATCGAAAACACCGTTAGTCACCATGCCCAGAAGATGTAAGCTGACGCCCTGCGCGAAGCTGAGAGGGGGTCCAAGCAGCCATTTCCGCGGTGCCCACAGCTTCTCATAGAAAACGCCGGTGGGGTTTCGTGGGTGGAGGTAGAATGCTACATCAAGTTCTTGAACGGTCGACCAGAAGATATCCCATTCAGGCCCGTCGTAGAAGATCATGGAGCTACCCGACTCGTCGTTGCGTTGAGTGTCATTCACAAGGGCTCCCTTGAAGCCGTAATCCTTGACACATCGTCGAAGCTCGTCTGCCGCGACTTTGGGGTCGTACATGGAGAGAGTACTGGGACTACCGTTAGCCAGGCCTCGAAAGCGTGAACGGGAAGCAACGTACGCAAAAGCACCCAATCGATCCTCATGGCCCTTGATCTCGCCGGCAACATGATCATTGACCTCTCGTGCCAGGGCATCAGCTTTCTCCTGTTCCCACACATCCTGCACACCCGGAGCGGTGTATGACAGGATCTTGTACCCTACGCCGAACTTGTCCATCTTCTCAATCCGAAGCTTGTTGATATCGTTGATCTCCCTCGTGTGCTTGGCGGCGTCGACGGCAAAGAGGCCAGCCCACCATTCTGTCACTTCCGCATTTCGTGGCAGGGCAAATGCCTCTTCGAGCGCGACTTTTCCCAGCATTTTAACGGGTTCGGGTTTGGTAAAGTCAGTTTCTGGAGCTTTTCAATGCTGGGAGAGGAGCAACTGGCAGCCTTTTGTACTACTTTGACGCCCTTCGGCCTCTGATAACCGTATGCCGGGCCCGTGAGGTCCGCTCCACAGAAATTGAAGTCACCGCGCACATTTGTGCTATTCGGACTGACATCCTAATCCTGCTGTTGGTCAGGTGAAGCTGCTGACTCTGGCGGTACGTGTATCGGGTTCTTCGGTCTTCGGGTAGTGCACCCATCCTCCGGCTATGTACCTTGTGTTCAAACCGCTTCCAGGACTCTCACTGCTCACTCTACCGATATACAATAGCATCTGGATTGTATCCCCTTCGGCTGGTAGGTATCGAGTGATGCGAGGACCCAGAATGCGCTCAAAGAGAGCCGAAAGGCGTAACTCGTTCGCATTGACATCAGTCGAAACGTCCTATCAGCAACATCAGTTCCTTCTACATCTCACACCAGGTTGCGGACATCAGGACCTCTGCTGACGAAAACGATAGAGCGAGTCTGTGCATGGGTGTGTAACCTTCAGCTGCTTCGATGTGCCGTGGCAAAATGTTTCCTTGCCTGATTTCAGCGTAGCTTTCGCATCTTCAGAGCCTGTTATGCTTATTGCAGCAGTTGGAGACATAAAAAGCGGACCGCATCAAAATGGAGGAGATAGATTGGCGATCTTGCCAATTGTTTCCTCTGATCTTTTCGCTATTATGCATCAATTCTCCAGCACAGGCCAAAGACTCTCCCAGTCGATGTACAAGTTATCCGACAACAACGGCATGTCCGTCCATTCATCATTTGGGGCTTGCGGGTAGTTCAGACTGAGGTCGTATCCGTCAAGATCAAAGTTCAACATCGGATCGATGTTGGGATCGACGCCAGTCGCACCATTCACTCCAGCGGAAGACGGTGTCGTGTATGCGGCTGCATCTCCCGTGGCAGCGGGTGCACTGCTTGTCCCTGCGACTGAAGGATCTTGAAAATCTGCTGTAAAGATTTGGCTGACATATCGATCGCTCTTCTTCCTTCTTTCTCGCCCAAGCTGTTCTCGGCGCGCATAGATGGCATCGCTGAATGTGCTCAGGATCTCGAAGTAATGTCGAGCTTGTGGGGAGAGTTGGCCTAGCTGTTCAAGGACAGAGATGGCGTTTTGAAATGCACCGTCGACCTCGGGTACTGGCTCGACTTGTGCGAACATTGAGAAGCCGAGGAGAAGACCGGCCGCGAACATCCAGGCTCTAGATCGTGGTCAGCGCATCGTAGGAAAGAGCGTTCGAGTATCATACTTGAGAAGGCACATGTTGTTTGATAAGATCTGTGAGCTGATTGCCATGTATCCTGTCTTGGCCATATACATGGCCGAGTCGAGACAGGCTTGTGCAAGGTCAGATACGTGTGACGGTGCCAAACGGTCAGCACTGGGTCTTCGATCGTGGGGTCTCCGCCGACGGATCTGGGACACAAGATGTGATATGAGGAAAGGTCTGGTGACCAGAACAATGGTGAAATAGTACGTGCAAGCCACATGTGTAGCGCCGATGAAGAGTTCACGATCCGCCGGGCTAAGAGTTGTGTCTTTCATACTGGCAAAATGTCGGAGCTCGACAGGAATTGTCTCATTCCATTTCCGTAGTCGTTGGAGAAACGACTCAGCGGTGGCAGAGTTGATGTTGGTTCCATTGCCGATTTGCTGTTCCAGCTCGATGATATGCGAGCAAATGGTGAACACCGCCCTAGATGCCATCCAGCGTGGGCGATCGTAGTCTCCGATTACTATGTCTGCATCAGCCGAATTGTCTTCGTCGAGACGCATCGGAGGCAAGCCACCAGGCCTGCCAAGTATCGAGGAGACTATGGTATCGAGGATGAGAAGGCTTTTCCACGTCCGCCATCTGTTCATGTCAGCTTTCCATCATTCAGTCTTTCGATAACGGAGGAGCCGCTGACCGGGTTGTGAACTCAATTGTTGACAGTGCTTTATTGGGTTCTTTGCGATGCAGCCCAAGAGCAGACGCTGCTTTGGAAGCGATGCCCAGGCACATGAAAGCGGCGTTACGATGGCACGCTCCAAGCATATAGAAGGCCATCATCAAGAACACCCTGACCATGTCCAGACTTGGGTCGCAGAGAAAGCCTTCGAAAGCGAACTTCTGTGCGCAAGTAAAAGAGCGTGCAGCATTGTACGAGTCCAGGGGGTTCTGTCCTCGACATTGGCTGCCGATGGCGAGCATCATGTTCAGGAAAGCCTGTTCCGCTTTGGCACGCTTGTCTTCGTCGTCGATGAAGGCACTTGGACTCAGTGCATTATGCCGATCGAGAAAGCCGTGAACCTCGTCGACGGTGAAAAGATCGAGGATACCACTCGACTTGGTAATATCAGCTTTGGTGGACTGCGTCCTGCAAAATTTGATCTCGACTCACAGCTTCGCGATAGAGTTGCACCAGGTTATATTTCTCGCCACGACTCTGGTCACAAACCAGCGGACTTTCGTCCCGGGCTAGTTCGACTTCGAGCATGTTCTCTCTGAATTGATTCTCCGTGAACGCTGATGGGCCCATGTACTTCTTCAAGATCTGCCGCAAGAACTGCAAGAACGACAAGGAGGCATTCTCGCCGATGTATACTATACGACGGTCAGCACATGTTCAAAATCCCATGGATAAGCACATCCTCAGGCATACGTTTCTCGCCCTTGGAGCTGAGCAACATGCGACTCTCAGTTGTCCGGGATGCCGAGTGGCCAGGCTCCGGGGTTGGGGTGGTAGTTGCAGTGACTGCTGGGGCATTGGAGGCCGGTAAGGAAGTCCCAATAGGTTGAACACGGACAATATCACTAGTCTCAGCCGGACTGCCCTCGAATTGCGGCGAAGTGTCATCCAGGCTCGGGGTCGGCAGAGGCGAATTCTGAGATGTCTTCTGCCTCTTGCGTGAAGACTCCAGATAGACACAGGCCGAAGTACGTTCCCGTTTAAGACAAGGCCCACATGGCGTAGCAGCATCGCAGCGGATTTTTGAGGCTTTGCAGGGGAGACAAGCACGTGCGGATCGCTGTCGGTCCTGTGGCTTTACCTTTGGTCGAGGCATAATCGAGACGTAATGCCCATCTAATTGGGGCGAGGCTGCAGTTCGGATATCGTCGGGATACCGATGGATGTCAGATCCGACCTTGTCGGCTATGGGGATGGCGATATATCAGAGCAGGCTGGCGTTGTGCAACACGAGAGGTGGGCTAATTGGGACGGATGTGTTCGAGGAGGCACCACCGGCTTATGATGGCTCTGCGGGCCCCAGGGAGTGGCCGTTTCTGGTGGCAATTGATAAGACTCCGGCCTCTCCTCTCTGTTTCGCTGCTTGATTCGACCTCACTGTCTCCGCGTCCTGGGCTCTGATAACAACTGGTGGCCAGGAGTAAGTGCGCCAACCAGAGCGTTGAAGGCAAAGAGTGCACGGTCCGAGACTCCACTTCCTCACACGTTCGTTTCCCACTCGTCCGAGGTCCTGCCTCCCGCCCAAGTCTCGACTCCGACATCAACTACCTGCCACCAACCCCGCCTACACACTTCTTATCAACCACCCAAAACCCCCGTCTAGGCTTCACGCCTAGGGTAGCTGCAGTTGGTCAAGATCATGGCGGGCTGTGCGAAAAAATTGGTCTTCTCGACACATCCTCGCGCGAACGGTTCGTAGTGTAAGAAATCCCCATTACAATGGCTCAAACGAACGGCAGCAACGGAGTGAGTACCAGCTTTAAAGGCAGCCCAGACTGGACAATTCCCCTGTGGCGTAATGGCGAACAAGTCAAGACTGCTGCGTCCTTCGACATTGTCTCTCCGTTAACCGAAAAGGTGCTGTACAAGTCCTTTGGCGCGTCCACAGAAGATGCCACGGCAGCCATAGCAGCCGCCGAGCAAGCACTGCCAGCCTGGAGCAAAACAAAACCTGGATTCCGTCGAGACCTCTTTCTTAGAGCCGCAGACGAGTTGGCTCGTAGGAAAGGTGACCTCTGGCACTTTTGCAGCACAGAAACAGGGTCTACGGAACCGTACTTTGACTTTGATTTCAACGATGCTCTGGAGTCACTGAAAAGCTGCGCTGGGCTCATCGCCTCTGCCAGCATCCAAGGACAAGTGCCCTCGATGTTGGATGAAGACAGGAGTGCTATGGTGATCAAGGAGCCATACGGCGTGGTCGTCAGTATTGCGCCTTGGAATGCGCCCTGTATTCTGGGTTTGAGGTCCTTCCTCGGCCCTCTCGCGAGTAAGCTTGAAGGCCGGTGAAGGGAAATCTTGAGACATACTGACGTGGGTGCAGTGGGCAACACCGTTGTATTGAAAGGACCCGAGAAGGCCCCAGGTTGCTATTGGACCTTGGCAGATATCTTCCACATGGCAGGTCTGCCAGCGGGTTGTCTCAACACAATCATCCATCGCCCCGAAGATGGGCCACGAATCACGGAGACGCTCATCTCTTCGCCTATTGTTCGCAAGATCAATTTCACCGGGAGCACGGCTGTTGGGTCTATCATCGCTGGTCTCGCCGGCAAGCACTTGAAGCCCGTTCTTATGGTACGACGCATGAACAGTACACTGATTCGGGATGACTGACCGCTGGCAGGAACTGGGTGGCAAAGCTCCAGCCATTGTCTGCGAGGATGCGGATCTTCAGAACGCCGCCCTCCAGTGCACGTTAGGTGCCTTCCTCTACTCTGGACAGATCTGCATGGCAACAGAGAGGATTCTGGTCAACGCCAAGGTCGCAGACAAGTTCCGCGAAGTTCTCTCCGGCACGATCGATGCAGTGTTCCCTGATAAGAATGGCCTCGTGCTCGTCGACAAAGCGCCCGTCTCGAAGAATGCCAAACTCCTGCAGGACGCTGTCAGTAAAGGAGCCAAGGCCATCTACGGAGACCCGTCTGACAAACGCGAGCTGGCAACGGCCATGCGTCCTGTCATCATCGAGGGCGTCAAGGAAGGCATGGATCTGTACTACACGGAATCGTTCGGCCCAACTGTCTCCCTCATGGTCGTGGAAAGCGACGATGAAGCTATCAAGATTGCAAACGACACAGACTACGGCCTAGCATCTGCAGTCTTCACCGAGAACCTGCAGCGCGGGTTCCGAATTGCTAGGCAGATCGAGACAGGTGCCGTTCACGTAGGTAAAAAATCCACCTACTACCTGCGAGACTTGCTAACACTCCTCGCATCTGAAGATCAACTCGATGAGCGTGCATGACGAGACAAATTTGCCGCATGGTGGAGCTAAGAAGAGTGGATGGGGTAGGTTCAACGGAGAAGAAGGCCTGAAGGAGTGGGTGAGGCTCAAGACGATTACTTGGAAGAACTGAGGAAATCAGTCGCTAGTTGCGAGACGGACAAGCTGGGCTCAACGTGGATATTGACTTCACAAATCACAGTCTTTCGATCTTGTCGGCAATGTTTTCCACGTGTGAAGGTTCAGCCTATCGAGGTGTCAGGACATGTGAGTTCACAAACCAAAGTTCAGCTACTGACCTTAGGTCCAGTGACCTCCATCGCCTCTTCATCAAGCTTTGCAGCATGGTGTTTCGTGGCGCCCTCCAACATCGCAATCTGAGCTCCGATCCCTGACGTCTCCGCTTTGGCAAACTGCCAGGCCTTGAGTTTCCTAAAAGCCGTTAGCATGCCGGCGGGGCATCGTCGTGACAAACAACTACTTCTCGAACAGCTCGTCAATCTCTTCTAGGCTTCGGCCTTTGAATTCCGGGACGAAAAAGACCACAAAGACGAAGCTGGCCAAAGAGATCCCGGCGAAGATCCATCCAACCTTGGCATGAAGGTTGGCATAAGGGGCATTCAGCAGGTACGGTACCGAAAAAGTTGTAGCGAATCTGCGACTCATCAGACGTGGAAGCCAATTGATGATTCAGGGACATTGGACTCACGCCCCCAAGACATTCCACACGATACACCACGTCATGACTACGTTCGTCAGCTCAGTCATAGCACCAGAACAATCGGTACTCACTCTTTCTACGCAGCTTCACACCACCAATCTCGGAGCCGATAATGTACGTCGGCGATTCAGTGGCCATGCGTTGGAAAGATGCGAACATGATGCAACTGTCCACGACGGCATTGATCTTGGCACCGCTTGGATGCTTCGCCGAGCCGCAGGCAGCGACCACGATCATGAGAGGCACTTGGATGATGCTGCCGAGTATCATGATCGGGCGTCGTCCCAGTCTGTCGTATCCATACAACGCTATGGATTGTGTGACGAGGATCAAGACCGTGGTAATAAGGGCGTACGTGAAGGCTTTGTCGCCCAAGCCAAAGTCCTTGTAAAAGCTGCCAGACAGTCAGAGCGGCCATCTCACAAATGCTCGCGGACTCACGTTGGTCCGTATGTGTTGATAAACTGTCCTCCGGTAATTTGACAGAATGCTCCAAGGAAGCCGCCAATCTACCAAATCAGCCAGTGACCCAAAAAGTGGAGAAGGAGAATGGGCTTCATACTACAGTCCGCCTGAGGTATGTTCCTCGAAAACTGGCATCGCATCAGCAACTACCTCCTTCCTGCTCGGGTGGCGTACATATCGATCCATCGCCCCATATCTTGCTCCTCGCAGAGGACCACAGCTTGCTCGATCGCCTCAACTTCGAGTACGGTCGTGCCGTTTTCAACGTCCTCAGCTGGTCGGAGTTTATTGAGCACTGTCAACGCTTGGTCTTTCTTTCCATGCATGATGAGCCAGCGTGGAGATTTTGCTTTGGATAAGCTTCAAATGTCCAGGAGATGCGAAAGGGGCTCACCGGGTGTTAAGGGGGCAAGGGCAATGACTACCACCGCCGGCATGAACTGCATTGCGCAAATGGTACGCCATCCTGAAGCAGATTCCACTGAAACAAACCCGCGGCTCATCGCATTTGCCCAGATCTGTCCCAGAGCAATGAAGAACGTCATGGCACCACTGCAGATTGAGCGTAAAGGTGCTGGGGAAATATCAGCGCCATATGTCGGAGCACATGTAGTCACCAAGCCAGTGGTATAGTAAGCAATCGTTCGTCCTATCGCGAAGGCGTACCAGTTGCTGCCAACGGTCAGATTGTCCAGGTACGCTAGTTAGCTCTACTGTGTTGTCTCACGGTGCTGATATCTCCACTAATTTGATCAGCATAGACACAGAGAAGAAGCAGATTATCAAATCACAACTCACCGGCCATTCCTAAAATCTGGAAGAAGCAAATCACGTATTATGAAGTTTTGAAGCCAAACCGCTCGGTGAGAGGCTCGTAGGTCAGCACACCAGCGAGTTTCCCGCCCCAAATGACCGAATTCATTATGGAGGTACGACCAGTGCCCAACTTCCTCTTGCCATTCTCGCCTATCTCGCCGAAACAGTGAAGGAAGCTCGGTAACGCTTGCACTGAGCCGAACATACTTGTATCACTGATGTTTGATTAGCCAGACCGCATGCCATGCGATCGATTCCTGATATCCAACTCACTAGCCATAGCCGATGTCGCTCAATGCATACACAAAGACACAGAACCACAGCCAACGACTGGCCCCTTGGAAGCGTGATCGCCGGACTCCATTCTCGGTCAATGCCATTCTGCGTGCTCGACCTGGCAGAGTATCACACGCGAAGGGATGTAGCAGAGCATTTCCCAGCACATGGAATGGCTTATAGAGACGAACGCGAAGGGAAGTCTAAGTCAGATCCTTCTGCGCTTGTTGTAGCGGGCCCGCTCAGCGTCAGTCAGTCAGCGAGCCGCAGCCTCGTTGCATGCAGCCGGATCTCGCACAGACCCTCAACCCCACAACGTGAGCGGGGTCTCCATGGGATGGCGTTTGGGGTTTGAAACCTTCTTGACGTCCTCATCTACTTCGTCAGATTTCTCCTCCTCGACTGCCAAAGCCTTCGCCTCCTTTCGCCTCCTGCCTACGCTCCAGCAAGCGCAACCGCCTTCGGCATGTCTGAAAGCTCGTTGACAGCCAGTCCTCCTGTGGCCGCCGTCAAGACCAAGCGCAAGCGACAACGTGCGTCTTATCCGTGTAATTATCTCCGGTTCTATTGCCTGGAACAAGCTGAAGTTGGGACCAGGACCGGGACGCGTGTGCACCGCTTGCCGGCAAGCTAAGGTCAAGTGGTAAGTAGTATAGTGCCTACAGAGGTCTTGAGCATTGTGCTGAAGTGTATGCGTACAGTGATGCCGCCGAAAGGTTTCCTGGGAACTGTACTAGGTGCAATGAGACGTCCCAGAACTGTCATATCGATCCTAAGTTCAAGCATACTCGGAAGTATGTTTGCTGCTCTGCATACGCTGGTCAATGTTCCTGATCTTGTTCAGAATACCCAAGCATGCCTCAGTCACTGCCACCGCATCTATCTGTCTAGAGATGCTGCTGACAAAGGACGATCTGCCTCACAACGAATTGCTAGAAACGGTGGAGTCCAAGGATAACAACCCAGCACTGTACGACGTGATCTTTAACCAATTTTCTATCGGAAGCATCGTGCTCAACAGTCAACAAGTGACACATCTGTTTGACGTTTATGTCATCAAATTGATTGCTCTGCTACTATGGATGACTGTCTAACATTTGGAGAGCTTCTTTGACTTTTATCATCCCCATTGCCCGATTCTTTTAGAACGTCGCCAGCCAGGAGCAACTTACATCAACGACCACTTCCTATTCTGGTCCATTGTGTCGGTTGCCAGCCAAGGCCTGTTCCTCGATTCGGAGTATGGAGGGAACATATTGACCAAAGAGCAATATGCAGGTGTTGTAGATGCCGTTAAATACATGGCAGGGGATCTCAGCATCTGCCCATCCCGGGAAGTAAGCACTGTTCAAGGACTTGTGTTTCTGTCCCATTGGAGCTTTCCATCATTTCGGAACAAGGACGACCGGGCTTTCCACTACATCAATTTGGTCCGTCATTTGCCTCCCCTACAAATTTGATGACTATGGGCCTCATCTTGACAACACCGTGTCCCAGGCAAATGAGCTCGGCATGCAGATGGGACTCCATCGTCCCTTTCATTCATTCGAGTACAGCTCACGTCTTAGCAGCCAAACGATTGCCACGTCTTCCGCAGGGCGGGAGCGAACCATGGCTTGGATTGCATGCTACTCAGCCGTCCAATTGTGAGAATTATATCTACACTCTTGGCATCACAAGTAAGCTAATCGTAGTCAGTCTATCGGCCGAGTGGGGTTTGCCAGTCCAGATCCGGGAAGACTGGGTCATCACACAAGCGTCTGGCATGGCAAATAAGTCGCAACTACCTGAGTGGCTTTATGGGGCACCACGTACCCTGCTTCGAAGCCTCGCTACTGCTCGACATCTAGGGAATGGCTCAAACCTCCTCGGCAACTCGCCAGATACTTCCACCGGTCAAGCAGACCCGATTGCAGGTCCTATCCTGTGGTCGGCTTTGAAAGAAGAACTTGATGCAATGGATATTAGCGCTGGCCACTTGGAGGCACCGCTTGCAGTGCTATCACTTTGGACGCGGTTCCGACACTGCTGCTTTGGACTGCAGATGAATTTTGCCGGCACCCAGAGAGCAACCATTGTTGCACAACTGTACAAACTCGGCCTTCGAATCATGGGAGTCTTTGATGCAAACCAGACCAGGCTATGTTTCTGGCCAACCTACGTCCTTCAGATCATTAAACCACTGGCTGTGGGAACACTCCTCTAGCGTTGCGTGCCATTGAGCTAATTCGAAGCAGGTGATTCTCCTCCACCTGCTATCTTCTGTTGATGGTATAGATTTAGACGTGGGCCCTCTGCTTGAGGCCATCTCTACCGCGCATAGGCTGCTTCTGAAGCGGGTCGTATTTCCGAATGATCGGTATCACCGTTATGCCAAGAACGTCGCCATCACTGCTAAGGATGCTCTGGATCGACGGAGTAAAGGTCGGTTGTACGGCTCCCCTGAGGCGGGCGGCTTCGGAGAGGTGAAAACTTGAATAGGTACGTACACTTTCACGTTCGCGGTGCAATCTGCTGATCTTTCAGGGAGTGGCAATTACAATCATGAGACCCTGGCTACCGTCAAACGTATACGGGGCCAACACATGGTAGACAATAATAACGAGACTGGTGGTATCTCGAACTGCAACTCATATCCAGGTCTGTCCCGCTCTCCACTTCCTACGAGATATTATCACTGACAAGGCAAAAGAGTGGCTACCTGAGACAGCGCTCTACGACCCAGCAAGTGCACAATTGCCGGATCAGTTCATGTAAGTCCTTCGTGTAGTTCCTGAAACTTCGTCTAGGGGATAGTAGCTTCAACATGGACCATCTTGCTGATTTCGACGCCGTTTTGTTCGAGTGGACTGCTGGCTAGCATGATATATACGTGTAATTCGTTGTGACATTAGCAAATGCATTAGACGTCATATTGACTCAAGTGTCTTCAAATTAGTGGATAATTCGTGAAAACTCAAGCTGACCATATGCATGAGCCGTTGGTTCACTCGTGTAGGTTTGTTTGGTACAAGACGGGTGTTCAAGAACAAGGCTGGGCTGGCACACCGCTTAGTTTGCCGGAATTCTGGTATCCAGATCCTGCTCCAAGCCCCTTTCCGCTTAACGAAGCGGCTCGCAACAGTCGCTCACAAGCCCATGGCTTCTTTACCGTAGATATAAAAGGATACCTGAGTCCAAGGGTACAACAGAGTTGTCACACAAGCCGTCGACTCTTCTTCGACACTGCAGTCCCGACAACTACTAGAGACATACCGTTCACTCGCATACAATCCACCTCAATCATGGGGTCTGCTCCCGAAGAAGACGTCCTCGTCGATATCATCACACCCATTGGTCAGATAGGGTCGGTTTCCACATCACAATATGGTCGGAACGCTTTGCTGACCTCTGCAGATATGGCTACCCAATCGACCCCTTTGTCGATGAGTGCAGACGTATGCCGGATGGCAGCTTCATCATCATGGACGCTGGCAGTACCGACAGGTACTGAATCACTTGCACTGTCGTGTTCGATCGACTTCAATGACTGACCGATCATGCAGCGGGCCACAAAAGGTATGCTTCAACGCCTTGACAAGCTCGCGAGAGGGCTACCTACACGACCTTCGGCCAGTCCTTATGATCGCCCATGAGCGTCGCTTCAAAGTTCTCATCGGCTCAAGCGGCGGCCACGGCACCAACGAGCACGTTGCCCACTTTGTCGATGTCATCAACCAGATCTGTCGCGAGGAAGGCTACAGTTTCAAGATTGCCACAATCCTTGCCGAGGTGCCAATCGATTTGATCAAATCTCACATCAAGGCTGGCACATGCACACCTTGTGGTCCAGTGCCTGAGCTCACCGCCGACGAGGTCGAGAAGTGTCCTCGAGTGCTGGCTCAGATGGGCTATGAGCCGTTCCTCGAAGCCTTGAATGGTGGCGCGGAGATCATCATCGGTGGTCGAGCGTACGATCCGTCCATGTACACAGCCGCGTGCATTCCCAGGGGCGTCGACCCTGGTATCGCTTGGCACATGGGCAAGATCTGCGAGCGCGGTGCTTTGTGTGCGACGCCTCGCGGCAAGTCCATTCGAGCTACTCTGCGCAAGTCGAGCTTCGACCTCACGCCCGTGAACCCACTTGAAAGCTGCACGCCAACTTCGGTTGCCGCCAACACGCTATACGAGAAGTCACGTCCTGATCTGCTGCCAGGGCCCGGTGGAATTCTGGATGTTAGTAACGCAAGCTTTGTCAGTGTCAATGATCGGACGACGCGGATCTCAGGGGCTGTCTTCGTTCCCCAGCGCTACACCGTCAAGATAGAAGGTGCGAAACCTCTTGGATACCGGTCCATTGTCGTGGGAGGTACGAAAGATCCCAATCTGATTCGCCAAATCGACGAGTATCTTGGCTACGTCCGCAAGAGTGGCCTCGCCATGGTCGATGACTACGATCCGGATGTTGACAAGCTGAACTGGCATGTATACGGCAAAAACGGGGTAAGAGAGCATGTAGACATTCTCGAACCGCCCAATCATACTGATGAATTACAGGTCATGGGTCGCCTTGAGACCAACGCCGCGACAGCCCACGAACTCTTCATCATTGCCGAAGTATTGTCCAGCTCACAGCAACGAGCCAAGATGATCGCCAACCGCACACGACCTGCTATGCTACACACGCCATATCCCGGTCAAATGGCCAACTCGGGCAACCTAGCATTCCCGTTCGCACCGTTTGAGCAAGAGCTGGGGCCATTCAGCGAGTTCAACGTCTACCACATCATCCCTGTCGATGACCCTTTGGCACTCTTCCCGATCAAGCACTTCGAGTTCTCCTTTGCCAGCAAGACGAACGGCCTCGTCAACGGCCACGCCAACGGCAAGGTCGAGAAGAAGAAGCCTGATGCGTACACTCTCGTAGCGAGAGAAATTGCCACCTGGTGCAAGAGTGTCCCACTCAAGCCCAACTTCACCGAGTTGATCAACTCCGGTCGACCGTCCGCCAAACTGGGCGAGATCGCTCGGATTGTTCGAAGCAAGAACGTGAGAATCACCCCGACCTTCATCATATCCTGCACGGCATCGCTCATACTGACGATACTATCCCTAGTCCGGCCCCTTCGAAGCCACCTTTGACATCTTCTTCAACGAGCGGCCCGAATACGAATGGGTCAAGAACAGCGGCCTCCTGAACCCAGCCAACCTCTCAAAATTCTATAACCTCGACCCGAAGAAGGTCGTGACGTGCATTTTTAACGAGCCGGCTATTGCGTTCAAGTTTACGATCCCCAGACCGGTTGTGCAAGGGTGAGTTGTTGTGTATAGTGTTCAACCGTGGAATGTTCGTTTGGCTGACATGATAGAATAGTGGTTTTGGCGAAACTGATATGCATGCGGCGCAGCAGTATATGCCCATTGCCGGCATTGAGGTTCCTCTTCCAAAGTCGGCGTGAACAGGATTCGGCCTGGAGATCAAGTTTTCAGATTATCCATGGGTCGAATGGAGAGGCGTACAGTCTAGTAGTCCGTGAATTGAGTGCAAAATGATTTTCTTCACACTCCCTCCATCTACAATCACGCAAATTTGTCCTGTGAAAGCAATGTGCCGATATCCGTTTTCTTCAAGTGAAAGAAAGGGATTGCCAGTATCTACGCAAACTTGACATTATACCCTATCTTTACAGCCAACTCGTTCAAAGAATCGACATCTGCCTTCTTATAAGGAATCCCTGACCTCTTCCTCTCCTCTTGTATCTTTGCGGAATTCTCTCCCGGAGTGAGCACTTCAGCAAACCCAGGAGCCAAATCACAGGAGCGTACTCGCTCCAGAAGAGTATCCATGCGCTCGAGATACTCCTCCTTCGAGTCGAGAAGTACGTCAGGCTTGAAGACCATGATCCACTGGCCTTGGCCTGATCTCTTTGAAAGGTGTTCTCGTTGATTGAGAATTGATCCAGCGAATGCCGCGCCTGTCAGTAGGCCAGCGAAGATGTCGACCACTGCTGCCAGCCCGGATCCTTTCGCACCGCCGATTGGCAATACCGTGCCATCTTTCAGCGCCTCTGCGGCGTCGGTGGTGGGGTGACCTTGTCCATCGAGCATCCACCCCTCCGGAATGCTCTCACCACGTCTTGCGGCTCTGATGACTTTGCCTCTAGCCCCGGTGACATGTCAAGCAGAAAGTCGCCTTTCGCTCCTCCCGGGAAACCGACTGCAAGTGGATTCGTACCCCAAAGCGGCTCCTTGCTACCCCATGGTGCTATGGCTGGGCTGGAGTTGGAAAACAGGATAGCGGCGTAGCCATGTTCCATTGCCTGTATTGCGTATGTTGCTGCCATGCCGATATGACCGCTGTTTTTGACGGCAGTGATGCCCACACCAAACGTCTCTGCCATTTTCATGCACTGGTTCGTCGCAACATGGGCTGCCACGAAACCAAATGTGTCCTGGGCGTCGATGCTCGCCATGACAGGTGTCTTCTGCAAGATCTTGAGTTCTGGGTTGGGGTTGATGGATCCTGCTTGAACACGGGCGATGTATATCGAAAGTCGGCTCAAGCCATGAGTGTCAACGCCACGGAGGTCTGCCAGGACAAAGCTATCTGCCACAATCTTCGCATGTTCGGAAGAGACGCCGGCGTGCTGTAGTAGAGATGAGGCCCATTCCTGAGCTTGGATGGCATCGACCAGGATGGGATTGTCGGCCATGATTGCAGCTTAGCATTCGATCATAGCAAGTGCAAAAATGTGGTCGAACTGTGATCACGAGTCGTAGTTGCAGCCGCCCTCGGTGGAAATCACTTGGAGTAGAATCTTGGAGTTCCATCCATTGGATGGAGCTGTTGGGCAGAGCTCTGTCGCTTAAGCAGGCGAGAATCGTCAAGCAGCGTGAGGGCATTGTGTACGTTCAAAAGAGTCAGGTGTTCTTCAACTCAGCCGATTTAGCCGCTCCGCAAAGCGTAGATTCGCTTGATCAAGCGCCGCTTGCATTTGCTGACAGCCTGACATGGCAGCCCTGAACAAGTACATTTTGCCAGGTCTCAATACCAGTCCTCAACACCAGTCCTCAATTTGTCGTCTCCGAAGCATACCATAGAGAAACCCACTTTCAGCGACTCGTACGGAAGACCCATGCCAGCAAATCCGATCAAAGCACCACCACAGGGTGTGTACGTTCCGGCAATCACCTTATTCGACCACAAGACCGACACTCTCGAACCCAATGCTCAAGCCAAGTATTTCAAGTACCTTGCTCAATCTGGAATCACTGGCTTGGTCGTTCTGGGAACCAATGCCGAGACTTTCCTGCTCACCAAGGAGGAACGGGTATCGTTGATTTGTCTTGCAAGACGGTCGGTTCCAGCCAACTTTCCCATCATCGCGGGCGTTAGCGGTCACTCAACGGCACAAGTCAAGGCTTTCATCGCAGATGCGGCCAGCGCAGGTGCAGATTATGCTCTGTTGTTGCCTTGCGCGTACTTTGGGAAGCAGACAACCCCGTCGGTCGTGAAGAGCTTCTTTGCAGATGTGGCCAGGACGTCTCCGCTTCCAATCATCATCTACAATTTCCCTGCTGTCTGCAACGGACTCGATCTGGACTCGGAGCTCATCACGAGCATTGCTCAAGCTAGCCCTAAAATCGTCGGAGTGAAGCTGACTTGTGGATCGGTGGCCAAAATCACCAGGCTTTCAGCTACGTTCAGCCCCGAACGGTTCGCAGTGTTTGGTGGTCAAGTGGACTTCTTATACGGCGGCCTTGCGGCGGGTAGCTCTGGGTGTATAGGAGCGTTCGGCAACGTCTATCCTCATGTACTTGCGCGGATCTACGAGCTGTGGCAAGGAGGGGACTTTGAAGGAGCATTGAGCCTACAACAAAAGGCCGCCCTCGCTGAGTCTCCGACAAAGGCAGGCATCGCAAGCACCAAGCTATCAGCGGCGTTGTTCAGCTGCAAGCGGGCGGGCATTCGAGATGCTACGGCCCTCGCCTTGCCTCGAGCTCCTTACGATGCACCATCGAGTGAAGCACGGTCCCGGATCTTAGAGGTCATGGCTGATGTCGAGGTTATCGAGGCAGAACTTTGGCGCGGGCGGCAGGGTGAAGATCAGGGTATTCGGATTACGGCGCGTCTCTGACGAGTTAGACCAGCAAATGTGCATGCGAAAGAGAGTCAAGTGAGTGAGTGAAAGCCGAGACAGATTAGACTTTGCGGGGGTCTTGGCAATGGCGGAGAGGCCGCAGGTCGCGACTTCACATGCACGACTGACCTAAGCTTCTGAATCAAATCCACCTCTTGATCCTCTTCAATAGCGCAATCAATTCACGACAACTCGCTGTCGCCATAATCAAATGCTCTTCAACCCGTTCAAATAAAGCCTCCAGACTCACGATCCTCTGCCACGGCTGACCACCTCTCCGACCGCGATTCGCTACCACCACCACTGACTCCTCGCTACCACACTGTTGCCTGCCGACCTATATTGCTACCCTCCAGGCCTCCTCGAAGCCACCTCCAACCCATCCACTTCTATCATCTACAACACCACCGTATCCATCACTATCATCACCAACCATGGCGAGCCCGCAGCAGGGCGGCCAGCAGGCGCCAGTCATGATCAAGCCCGCGCAGATCGACAGCCTCCCCTTCCTCGACGACAGCTCCAAGCAGCAGTACAAATCCGGCCTCGCTAATCTGTGGCATACCTACGACTCCAACCCACAGGGCAGCTCTGCGCGCGCCGAAGCCGAGCAGAAGATCCGCACCGCGAGCACCAAGTTGATGGCGCAGCTGGCTTCGGCGAACGCTCGACGACCGGGCTCGGGCGCAGGCCAGCAGAGGCCGAACACAGCAGGACAGGGTGGGATGGGGCAGCAACAGCCGGGGAACGCACAACAGATGGCTCAGGCACAAGCGCAGGCTCAGGCTCAAGCTCAAGTCCAGGCGCAAGCGCAAGCACAAGCACAGGCGCGACAGGCTGGAGGAGCACAGGGCCAGCAGGGGCAGATTCGGCTGAGCGAGCAACAGCAGCAGGAAATCAACGATACCAAGATTGTTCAGCCGAACGGCATGAGCAATCAGCAGTTCGAGGCTCTGAAGGCCCACTGGCGCAAGCAAGCCTTTGACATCCTCGTGCGGCGCGAGGCCATCATGAATCAAGCTCGCCGACTCCAGCAAGCCATTCAGGCCGCGCAGCAAAAGGGCCAGACTGTGCCTGAGCAGAACATGAAGCAGTTTGGCGAAGCGAAGAGGGCGCTGGAGACAGCGAGCGCTCGTTGGAAGACGTGGAAGACGATGGCCGAGTCGGGCCAGTTGGGCGTGAACCAGCAGCAGCAGAGGGCGCAGTCGCAATCCCAGCAAGGCGGTGGGAATGGACCACAGCAGCAGCAACAACCGCAGCAGCAGCCGCCGCAGCAGGATGTCAAGCAGCAAGTCAATACTGACCAGCGCACCTCCCTCTCGCCACCGCAACCGCAAGCCGGGTTTCCACAGCAGCCCCCGAACCAGCAGGCGACGCCCGCGCAGCAGCCAAATGCGCCGCCGCAACAGCAACAAACGCCGGTCCAGCAGCAGCAACAACAGACCCCGCAGACCGCGACCCAACCTCACCCACCGCAGAATTTCCCGCAGCAGCAGAATATGCAGCAGCAAAATATGCAGCAGCCGCAGCAGCCTCGCCCACAAATCAATACCCAACAGGTGCAGAATCCCAATCAGATGGGGCAGCCGCCAAACCAACAGACGCCCGGCTCGGCAATGCCCAACAGCGCGACGCAACCCAACCCACAGCGCCCGCAGCCACTCAACCACCAGCAGGCCATGTCGCAAGCCGCTGAGAGCTACTCGCGTCAGCAGCAAGCACAGCAGGGCCAGCCTGGCCAGCAACCGCAACCTCAACTACCCAACGGCCTCCCATTCAACAACAGCAACAACCCGCCCGGCTCCGCGACACAACAAAACACCCCCACCGCCGTCTACCCGAACCTCCAGACCACCCAAACCAGCAGCGCCAACACCAAGTTCCCCATTCCGAAGCAGCTGCAGCTCGATCCACGCACCCAGAATGCCGTTGGCGCACCTCCATCTCGTCCCACGCTGAACAACCAGGGCATGATGTTCAACCCTGGTGTCGCTCGCGCACCTCCCTACACCCTCGAAGGCGAAGGCGATCGCGTCCTGAGCAAGCGCAAACTCGATGAGCTCGTCCGTCAAGTCACCGGTGCGGCGCCTTCTTCCAGCGGTGGTGAGTCCAGCGGTGGTGAGTCCAGCGGCGTGCTTTCGCCCGACGTCGAAGAGAACATCCTGCAGATGACGGATGATTTCGTAGACTCTGTCATCACCGACGCCTGTCGTCTCGCGAAGCTCCGGCCCAACCAGACCCTGGACATTCGCGATGTGCAGATCGTGCTCGAGCGCAACTACGGCATTCGCATTCCGGGCTACAGTCTGGATGAAGTGCGGACGGTGAGGAAGTTCCAGCCGGCGCCAGGATGGCACAGCAAGATGCAGGCCGTGCAGGCGGGCAAGGTGATGAGCAGCAGGGATTCATAGAATGGAGAGGTGGAACTTCCTACGTGTGAGGTGAGGAGGAAGAGAAGAAGATGTATGTGAACGGGACGGACATGATTCTTGTCATTCGAGTTGGGTTTGTGTCTTTTGCTTTTTCTCACAATACCACGAACGGTTTGGTTTCAGCGAGGCGAAAAGGTCGTTTGGGACTTCCTTCATGAATGTATCAATTAGCAGCGAGAGCATCAAGTAGCGTTGAATGACTTTTTACGCATTGCTTTCCCGTCTTTTCTTAACCTTACATGCTGAAAGGAAGATTCTCAACTGAATGTTCAAAGAGCTCGCGCCTTTTCTTTCCCATCTACCTGACCCTTCACAAACCTATTGGTATCTCTATATATACAAAGCATGCTGATCCAGATGTATGCCCAATCGTGATTCAAGTATCCCAATGCGCCTTGTATCCGTACCTAGACGAGATCTAACACAGAAAGAAAACCTCTCGCTTTTCCAGCACTTGGAGTCGACGAGAGAGAGAGAGCACGCACGCGAGATGATGCTTGCGACCGACATATTTCCCCCTTCCCTTTTTTTTTCCCAGCAGACCAGACCAATCATCCACGCCAACAACACACGAAAAAGACGCCTTCTCCTCCTCCTTTCTCCAGCTCAACCCTCCCACCGAATCTTGCAATCCTCGAAAGTCTCCTTGAAGTCTGCGATCCTCTCCTGGATCCACCCGCAATTCCAATGTTCCTCTTCTTGCTCGTCGCTCTTCCCGAAGCGGATGTCCTTGCCTAAATGGCATCTCCCCTCGGTGAACATCCACTGGATACACTCCTCCTCGCCTTTGAGGAGACATGCCTTGGCGCAGGCTTCTTCGCTTTTTGTCGCTTCTTGTTCGTACTCTTTCAACGTCTCCCAATCGTCGTCGTCGTCGTTGGCCATGGAGTACGTAGCGAACTTGTAGTCTTTGGACATATTGTTCCAGTGTGTGCGGTTGACGGAGACGTGCTGCTCGAGGAAGTGGTGGAAGACGTCGCGGTACAGGTAGGGCTCGGACCAGCCGTGGGTGTCGGTCCACTCCTTCTCGAACTGCCAGTACTTGTCGACTTCGATGGGCGTGACGTGGTGGAAGGTGATGGGTGGTGTACACCAGTGGTTGTCGGTGAAGTCGACGGTGCTGATGGTCTCGCCTTGGATCAGTGGCCAGGCGGGCGTGAGAGGGATGTCGACGGCCATGAAGGCGTCGGCCACGATGGCATCGCCGCAGCAGGATGCGGCAGTCGCTTCTTCCCATTTCGTGTCGTACAGCTCTTTGCCTGCGTTGTATCGAGCGGCTTCGAGAACATCCGCAGCTTTGCGCGACATAACGATGCCACTGCCTCCGTGTGCGAATGTCGTCTCGCCAATCACATTCTGCGCTCCCAGGTAGTACGGCTTCTTGGGGTCCATCTTCTGTAACCACAGCAAGAGGTTGAGCCATGACAGACTCGTATCCGCTTCAATCATGACGAACCACTCAATCTTATCATCCGCCGCCTCAAACGCCATATGGAACATGGGCAAGAATTTCCACTTATCCAAATTCCACCCGGAATCACCCTTCAGCTTGCCCATATCTTGACCCTCCCGCTGCCACTTCTCGATGTCCCGATATAGTTTGAAATCCTCATGCTCTTCTCGGATCTTTTTGCTCACAGGTGCGATGGCATCGTAGATTTTGACGTCGCCGAAGGTCTGCTCCAGGTCGGAGAAGATCATGAACTTGGGGATGCAGCTGAAGGTGGTGACGAAGTGCGTGGGCAGCTTTTGGTAGAGTTCTGTTGCGCCCGTCTTGAGCATGACCATGACCTTCTCGGCTCCCGGTAGGTGGAGGCATGTCTCGTTGAAGGTATGCGCCGGGCGTTCGAGTGCGGTATCGGGTTCGGAAGATGTATGTACGGGCGTGATGGGCGTTGCAGGTACATCCTCGCTGTTGCTCGAAGGTAAATCGTTGTGATGTTGCGCGAGGCTTCCTTTGGCGTGGTTGTATGCGTCCTCGGCATGCGGGAGCCACGAGTCTCGAAATATGAAGATGGCGACGATGATGGCAAAGATGACGGCTAAGCGCGAGAGAGTGACGCCCCTCCCTGTCAGGACCGCGCTCATGCTGGTTGTGAGAGCTTTTATACCGCTGAAACCATCGAATCGAAGCGTTGAAGAGGAGATGGAGAAAAGGCGAAATCGAGGAGCTGTCCTCCAGAAAAACGGGAGTGGGACGGAAGGTGTACCAGACGGGAAGCAGCTATATGTGATTACTTGGACAGAAGGAGAGGAGGTGCTGCGGCGGGTGCCCCTGAGGAGAAGAGATGTTTGGTCCAACGGAAAAATTGTACACGGATAGAGACGTAGTTTAGAAAACCCCCTGCTTGAGCAATACGAGGCAGATCAAGTCGGCTGCGTCACGCACACTGGACCTGGCCGACCATCACATGCGGCGCGCAGAGGTGGACTGGAGCTGAGACGGTTCAGAATAGATCAGGTACATGGCGGGTGCCGCCCTATCGATGCGCCGCGCCTAGCTGCTTCTGGTGCTTGTCAGAAGCTTGTTTGATCTCGCACTTTTCATGCCGTGGACCAAGTCTGTTCGGCACATTCGACGTTACAACCGCTACGGTCACCCATTGATATACCCAATCATCGACATTTCGCATGCCCTTGAGCTCGACGAATCCTCCTTGGACATTTCTAACCAATTGCTGTCATTTCCATACCACCTCAAGAGATATCGCCTACATGTCGTTGCAGTCGCCAAGTCGGCCGGTGTCTGCATCCCCATGGGCGGCTGCTCGTGATCGAGGTATCGCCAAATCCGCGGAAATGGACATGGGACTGGGGTCATGGTGTGATACAGTACGCGGATGCAAGGTAGAGTAGCAATCCGGTCACCAGGCGAGGATTTGGTTGACTGCAGACTGCTAGAAGCGAGGACATCATACCGGGGATAGCTTCGAGAGGTGGCACAGCGTGAGAGCAAGATCAATGTCTCTCCTTGCTTGGTCGAACATGTTCGGTCGGCGGATCAACGGGGAATCTAATCGGATGGAAAGCCATCAGAATCATGTCGTTTCGTCCCTTTTCGACGTCGAGAAGAGTATCGCCTATAAATGACCATCTTCAGCTCCTAGCTTGAGCTGGGCGATGCGAGTTAGCGAACGAGAAGCACGCGAAACTGCTTCGTCGACACTCGCTGGTATGTTGGAGCGGCTCGGTGCGTAGACTGGCGTTTGGTCATATTTCCTTCACATTCCGAGACATTCACCATGTCTCCGATGCTGCTGATGCGTGAGATGCCAGAGGAGGCACAACTGCTTTTTGATGAGATGATGTTGATGGTGAGGAGGAGGAAGAGATCCATCTCCACAACATGTTCCTGCATCTCCACGTTGCCAAGCCAATCGTACATCATCGCGCGTGCACGTGAAGTGGCCGCAACGGCTCAAACTTTCCATCTCCAACCACTCCACCTCGTGTGAGTCCATCCAAAGATCGACAATCATGACGCTGCAGCAGCTCCTACGACCATAGATCATACTTCTCCAGGACATGGCGCCTAGATGCAGCCGCTTTCAACTCCTCTCTCCAAAGGCCGGAGAGTGCCACTATACATCGCCGCAATGCTGGTATTCTCCTTAATTACTCTGGTGGCTTTCACGGGCTGGAGCCACCCGGCGGCAGCACAATTCCGCCCTCCATCTCATCACTGGCCTGGACACGGAGGCTCTGCTGGTCCTTCCTTGGCCGATCTAGCCTTGGAAAAGGTGCTTGATGATGCATCGCCCGTCTTCGGTATTTCTGATGACAACGTTTCTTCCACGGCGACGTGGATGCGAGCCTACAGCGATGACACACCTATTGTACATCTCAACATCCCGGGAACCCACGACGCTGCAACATGGAACTACTCTCTTGCGACTCAGCAAGCCTTGAAGCCAGTCACAGACCTGGCCAACATCACCGAAGTCGACCCATCGTTCTACAGATGCCAGGATATGTCCATGGTCCGCATGCTCGATGCTGGAATTCGGGTGTTCGATCTGCGCTATGCGTATGATGTGACCAAGACTAGTCTTGTGTTCTGGCATGGAACAGCTTTGCAATCCGAGACCGCTACCGTGGAAGATATTCTGTTCGGCTTCTTCAATTGGCTTGATGAGCACCAAAGCGAAGCGTTGTTCTTGTCCTTCCAACACGAGGGTGGAAATGACGATGCTGGTACTCAGAGGCTACTATACGACGCCCTGACCTCGCCTGCCGCGAAGCAATACATTCTGCAAACCAGAGGCACAATCGGCACGCTCGGTCAGGCACGTGGGAAGGTCACTCTACTCCGCCGGTTTGATCTCAATCTACTTCCAGCCTCGTACGAAGCAACTATTCCCGGCATTCACTTCTCCCCCAATGACTGGACAGACAACGGGCCCAACATCACGCTCGTCTACAACCAAACCAGCGGCGGCACAGCATACATTGAGGACTACTACCAGCCTCTCACTCCACAGGGATCAAGTGCTGAAGAGAACATCCGTTGGAAGGTCAACGCTACAGAAGCGCACCTCAGATTCGCCGGAGAAAGTCACAGCGATTCCCTCTTCTGGTCTTTTGCCTCAAGCACAAACACGGGCAACTCTCCCCCAGACACCCCCGAAATCCAGGCCCTGGGTAACGGAACATCAACACCAAAGGGTGGCGTCAATCAACAGCTTGTACCGTTCCTGAAGACCATGCAGGGTAAGAGGTTGGGGATCTTGATGTTTGACTTCTTTGAGGAGCCAGAAGAGTTGGTGCCATTGTACCTGAGCTTGCTACGTCCTAGCAAGGCGAGGAGCTATTCTTAACGTTTCAGCCTTCAGACTGATAGATATAGACCAGCGCAATGCAAAACATACGTATCTTACAATGTTCTCGTCACGGTAGCTGGAATTGCAGCTCCTCTCTTCAGCGTTCAGTCTTTCTGGCACGGTTCTGACTGCTCCCTGCACGCGCTCGCATTCATTCTCTTCGGCAATCACTTTTCAAGGATGTTGTGAAAGAAGAAGGATGATGTTTGAAGAATGTGGGGGCGTGGCATGTGACAGGCGATCCGGGCCCGAGCTTCGCGGTCGACCTCGAGCTTGACGCGACTTGTTGACCTTTCGCAATCCACACAACACCACCACCACCAACAAGAACATGTACTCGCAATTCCAGGCCAGCTACCAGCGGGTAGAGGCCAGTCTTCAAAGACTCACAGAGTCCATTTCCGCCTACAATCCTTCCACAACTGCCGCCGACGAGCTCGCCGCCGCTGATGATGCGGTTCAGGACAATGTCGAGACTTGTGCGCATTCCTCGAGACACGGGAGTAGGACTGGCATACTGACCACTTTCCACAGTAATCAAGCACCAACAGAATCATCAACGACTCGAAGAACTGCGCCGCACCACTGATTCCCTCGACGAGCAGATCAAAAACACCATTCGCCGACTCGCCGACTTGCGCAAAGACATCCAGTCCATACCCTCGGACGAGTCCAGCGAGCCTCGACGCGAGGTCAAGGTCGATGACCTGCTATCCTACGCCAAGTTCATCGCCAAAACCACTGTCCCGCCCACCCAGCGCAAACACGCCGCACTTCCTCAAACAAAACCCGACGCACAAATCACCAACGGCATAGCGACCCCACCGCAGGCGACTTCACAGCAAGACGGCGATAATGCGGTGGAAGTAAACAATGACAGTCGCGGAGTCAAAGAGCTAGGAGAGCAAGAGCTGGCATTCATCATTCCTAAGAACCTCACGTTCGACGCCTGGCCCAGCGATGTCCACATGACCAATGGTGCTTTGGGGCAGATCCAGGCAATGGTGGAGGCGGGTAGGGACCCTGCGAGTGTGCTGAGTCCTGAGGAGCAGGCTGAGGTGGATCGCAAGAAGAAGGAGGAAGAGGAGAAGCAGAGGGCTGAGGAGGAAGAGAGGCAGAAGAGGGTCGCTGCTGAGTGGGGTTATGGGAGGCGGCAGACGGTGGTTGATGAGTCTTTCAACCCGGACGATCTGTAGGAGGACGATGTACGCGATTTGTCTGACAGACTGGACGCTGGAGGGCAGGAAACTCTACGCTCCAAGACTCGGTACGTCCTGCAAGTCACCATGCCTGAATGATATCGAGTTCACGAGTTTGCCTCGAGCCGATCGACTTGAAAAAGCCTCGTGGACTGCATGCAAGCCACAACAGCGAACACCAGTCGAGCCGGTCAGTGGAAAGTTGGCACTGCTATACTGTAGCCACCACGTGGACGGATAGCGGCTTTCCAGGATCCTGCGCCTCCGCCTTCCGCTCATCAACCTCAAAATCACATCATAAATTGGCTCTTTCGGATCTCGAACGAACGGGATCCTTCATGGAAGCTTCACACGCGAAGTCCATGCTTTGCGGTATGATGCAGTCCCGGCTTTCGATGAATGAGCGCCGGGATCGATTGGTGCCAGGGGAGAAGTTCGTACAAGCGAAGTGAGTGCTATTAAGACAAACTCCTTTGAGACATGGACGATTTGGACGATCGAATTGGTGGCGAGGCAGCGCTGGCAATTCCACTACCGCCACACCGGACGAAAGTAGCAGATGCTCTATATGAGATCTGCATAAGCATGGTAGATCTGTCAAGACCGGGAGACGGCGTTGGCTCCAATTCCAGTCCAAGTTCAGCAACGGTTGCTCACCCCGTTGCCGTTTTGGACTCTTGGAAGAATAGCAAGACTCCAGTATAGGAGAACGATTGGGTGGTGAATAGGGAGGAGACAGGGCTCGGCAGGAGCCGCTGTCAATGGATTCAGCCGAAAGTCAGCAAGCGAGATGCTGTCTCTATTTGCACCTCACTCACTTAACTCTCCCTATTATTCCTCCCTTTCTGCCCCATCAACAGGCCATCAAAGACCAGGTTTTAGCAGCACCATGAACATATCCGGCTTGTCGTATCGATATCACGGCCGTGGCGAGGATGGAGCAGACACGCGATCATCTCATCGCCAGCGCTTCACAGCCGCCCGAAATCCCAAACCGCCCAGGAGGCCTTTCCATCCAGCCGTTGTCGCATCCCTGCATCCGCCTCTGACACCGTCGACTGCAGCCACCGCCTCGACTGCTCGCACCGTCACACGCACTCGGCCTCCCGCAGGACACACAGCATGGGTCGGTAAAGGACGCACTTCTCTTTTCTGTCGCGTTGTGCACAATGCGTTTCATGCGCGTACATATTCCTCGTCTTCTTCGCGCCCAAAGCTTGGTCACATGCCGCTTGTACCTGCACCCTGCATTCACTCTCTCGCGCGTATTCCTCTTTCTCTCACTTGTTGTTGTTGATATTCTTCCTCGGTGCCGAAACGACAGTATCCTGCACTCCCGACCATGTTGTCTGCACGACTCCAAGCGCCCGCGATTGACGATCCTCAATGAACGATGATGATGAACAAGCGCCGCCCGAGTCATTGGAGAGGTGATTTGGATGCCTTGGATGAGTTTTGGGAGGAGCTTTGGTCTGCCGTTGCTTCTCGCGTCGAAGAGAGGACTGCTGCGGTGGGGACGGAATCTGGGACTTCGACGATGGCTCCGCCGCCGGTCTTTACGGTTTCGGTGACGACGACGATCTTGTCGACGACGTTTGTGACGGTGCCGTATTCGAGTGAGGGTGCTGGGTCTTTGCCGGCTGCTACGGATTCAGTATCGTCGAGCAGAACTTCAATACCGTCGAGTCCAACATCAATATCAAGTACATCAAGATCAAGTTCGAGTCTTACGACGACGAATCTGGACACTGTCTTACCGACGATTGTCACGGCCAGCTCTCAGATTCAACTTCCACCCATAGCCTCATCTTCGCCATCAGCCACATCGCCTGGAAGCTCAGCAGCAAACGAGACGTCAAATTCAATGATTGGGATGGATTCGCAATCCGAGTCGCAGAAGAAAGCTGTCGTGGGTGGACTGTCAGGAACGATAGCTGGACTTATCTTCATCGGGGTGTTAATCTGCCTGATCCTGCGTGTACGCCGGAAAAAGCACGAACCCAAGGAAGAGCCTTTCGATGCGGCGAGCGAGAAAGAAGTACGGCCAAACTTTTTCAGAACATGGACAGGAATCACCATCGCTGGAGGACGGGACCGTCCACGAACCGCCCAACCAAGACCCGAGAGCACCTCCTCAGTCACAGTCGACGAAGACCACCGAATAATACGAATGAACACCCGACATTGGCCACGCCCTTTTGCCCCAGGAGCAGGCGAAGGCTACAGAGACTCCGTACCTCATGGCCAACTCCGCGTCATGAATCCCGATCTCTCCTCACGACCCATCACCCCACGAAGATCCTCAGACACTCCCTCCAGCTTCCTCCGCAAGCAAAGATCCGCATTAACAGGCTTCGTGTTCGGCGCCCCACGAAGCTCACAATCCCGAAATTCACAATCACGAGACCAACAACAACAACATCCCCTCGCACAGTCCGACATCCCAACCATCACCGTCGTCGACCCGACACTCTCACGAGAATGCATAGCACCCTACGCCCGAACCCCATCCTTCAAATCCTACCCCTCGATCAACACCCTCCCCATCGTCCGACAAGAACCACCCGAAGACCCGTTCGTGACCCCACCAAACAACACCCAACCACCACCTCCCATCCACGACCCCCACCGCGTACGAAGACCCTCCCTCTCCTCCTCCCTGCACTCCACCGCGACAAAAACCTGGTCTCACCTCCTCCATCCTTTCCGGCCTCACACCACCACCACTACACCAATCCAAAACGTCCGCAACGCCTCGCACTTCTCCGTTTCGACGAGTAATTCTAACTCGAATTCCTCTTATCGAAGAAGCGATCCGTTCGATTTGAGCGTTCGAGGAGGAGGGACGGTGGCGTCGCCGAGGATGGGGAGTGAGTTTGCGAGACGGGGGAGTGAGAGTGCGAGTTGGATTTTGTATGAGGGGACGTAAGAAAATTAAAGACAGAGTTTTGAACGACAGGATTTGAAGCTACAGAGAAGTGAACTTAAACGAAGACGTTTTCTGCTTTTTGAGCGAGATGGAAGATGGACGGTGTATGTATGACAGGAAGTGAACGTTTCGATGAAGATGAAGGCGATATACCCCCTAAATATGAACATGTACAGTACTCGAAGAAACCCTATTTGAAAGCAACTTTTGATCATTTATGTATTCATCCTCATAAACACATCTACCCACAATTCATACTCAACCCTCCCTCCTCACGGCACCCCACTAACCTTCCACACCTTCACCGCAGCATCCGCCCCACAACTAATCACCTTCCCCTCCTCATTCCACACCACCCCGCCGACGCCCTCCTTATGCGCATTCCCAGCCTTGACCCTTACACCAGGATCCGCGAGACTCCACACAAAGACATTCGTATCCAACGCCCCGCTGACAGCCTTCTTACTGTCGGGCGACCACGCGATGCACGTCACCCGCGCGGTATGTGCGGACCAGCGGTTCGTTTCGAGGGTCCAGGACCCGGAGGTGTTGTTGTAGACGAAGATCTTGCCGTTCGCGAGGCCGACGGCGAGGTGCGTGCCGTCGGGGGATAAGGCGAGGGAGGAGATGGGGGATGTTGGGTCTTTGAGCTCGGTCATGGCGTCGAAGGAGGCGGGTGAGCCGGCTTTGAAGAGGCGGACGGTTTTGTCGTCGGAGCCGACTGCTACTGTGTCGCCGGTTGCGGCTATGCAGGTGGGTGGTGATGGGGTTTTCTGCTTGGAGACTTCACTGCCGTCGGCGTAGGTGGTGATACCGGAGGCTGTGACGACGAGGGTGTGGTCTTTGCCGTTCAGTGTGGCTACTGCAACGCCCTTTGGCTGGCCATCTGTCTTGACGGCGTTGCCTGTGAAGGAGTGCTGCGAGGCGTCTACGGTGCGGAGGGTGTCGTCCCAACCAACGCTGTATATGCGTCCTTCTTTCGGTGCCGCAGCGATCCCTGACACGTAGTTGGAGTGCTGTTCACCATCCACAAGATCAGCCTTTCCACTTGGGATATCCCACGCTCGTGCTCGGCCATCATAGCTCCCCGTCCACAACGTCTTGCTATCCGTGGCCGACGCAGCAGACGTGATAGCCTTGGAATGCCCCCGTACAACCTTCACTGGCTTCTCACTCCCCTCCTGGAAGTAATTCAAATTGCCCTCCAAATCCACCGAAATAACCAACCCATCACTCCTACCTCCCGGCCACGTCACACCAACCTGCTGATCCGGTATCGAGACGCTATCCCCACCCAGCCGCCAACTTTGCGTGACCTTGCCAACCTCAGCATCCCAGATCTTGACCGTCTGATCACCACTGCAAGTAACCAGCTTCTTACTATCCTTCGCCCAGCTCACGCCAAAGATACTCCCCTTATGCTCCCCCTCCCCAATCTGCTTCTGCGCCTCGCCCGTCTTGCCATCATACAGCCAGATCTTCCGGTCACTGCCCACCGTCACCAGCGAGTTCCCGTCCGGCGAGAACTGCGTCCCGTAGATGAACTTGTCGTGCTTCCCACGAACACTCGTGTTGAACTTGAAAGGCGCCCCATGATAGAAACACAAACTCGTATCATCACTCCCCGTCGCCGCCCGCAGAGGCCGCTGCTGCCGTATGCTCACGCTGTTGATCTGCTGGCTGTGTCCACTGATCTCTCCCACGCTGTTGCCCGAGTCCGCCGTGATGCAATGTCCATACCGCTCTTTGCCGTCTCCGACCGCAATAATCCGCTGACTGTCTCCATCCCACGCGATGTCATTGATACGTCCCGCGATGATGTGATACTCGCCTTTGGTGTTCTCCGCCCCCATGGCGTCCCACACCCGCACGCTGCCAGAGACATCACCGGATGCTACGTAGAAGCCTGAGGGAGCGAAGCGTGCAACGGTGGTTTGGGCGGTGTGTTGGGTGTATTGCTTGGATACGGCGGGATCATCGATGGAGCGGACGAAGATGGACTTGTTGGAGGCGTAGGCGATTCGTTCGCCTTTCGAGTCGCTGGAGAGTGGGGTTGGAGCTCCTCGAGTGGTGGTCGGAGAGGCCGCCCAGATGGCATCTGTATAAGATCACTATTAGCCATTGCATTGTCAAGATCGTTTGAGACGTAAATACCAGACACAATCGACATGGTTGCTTGGTCGTGTGGGTGTTGTTTACTGCTGTGCTGGCCTTGTTGACTTTTGACTTCACCTCGAGAAACGTGGGAGCCTGCGAGCTGACGTAGCAACGTTTCACAAGTTCAAGGGGGGCAGCAGCAACAGCTATATTTGGTCCTTGACAACAACCACACCAACACCGTAGATCAAGTCAGGAGATCAAACATCATTCATATCCATTAGCGGTTACATTATGCTTTACTTGAAGTTATTCTCTACCACCAGTGGTCGTCGTCATCGCCCCAGTAATGCACTACCCGGGGAGGATGTGTATCATTTCCGTTCACATCGCCACCAAACACCAAGTAGTCCGCAATATCGGTAGGTGGGACGTCGGCAACCTGTGCAAAGTCGCCCATCACCCAGACTGACTGCATGCCCATGATCATGTGCTGGAGGATATGGCAGTGGACCATCCACACGCCTGGGTCCGTGACGCGAATGCGCCAGGCTCGCCAGCCCAACTTGTTGCCGGCCGTGGTGACGGATGTGTATCTGTACAAGTTCGTCGTGTCTCGCAGGACTGGGTTGTAGCCTGCCAGCTTCTTCTCGTTTTCTGTGGCGTTGTAGGTGCCGTTTCCGCTGCCACAATCGTAGTAGTGACCGCCGTGGGCGTGGAAGGGGTGGTAATCTTGGCCGCCATTGTTCATGACCAGAGATCCGGTGTTATACCAGATGATTTCAATGACCTAGAAACAATCAGTACGCAGCGTTCCAACTTCAAATATGACATTGACTCACCTCTCCAATCTTTGCTGGGAACGTAAGCGTATACGGATCCCACCCTTGATTCTCGAGAGCAGCGGTATAGTTTGGAATGGCAGATGGTCCCTTCTCATAGATCTGGACCAGATACGGTGTGTCACCTGGATACGGGCTCGATGTCTCATTCCACTGCAGTCCATTCATGCGCCAAATGTCGGTATGCGTGAGAACTTGTCGGCTATCGATCTCAAGACGGCGAGTCACCTCTGCAGCTGTTGGGAAGTTGTTTGGGTACAGTGGTTCCAAGGCATACTCTGCCCAGCTGTAGGTGGCGTTCGTCAACGAAATGGGCGGTTTTGCTGGGCCGGTTGTGATCGATGGCTGGCCTCCAGAGTATCGAAGCACGCCGTAGCCGTTGTAAACTGCAGGGCGGTCCTTCGTCTGCAGCTGGATCAGGTAATCGGTGGTGTTGCCCAGCTCGGCCTGGCTCTTTGCTTTGAAGATGACATCGAATCGCTGTCCGGTCGAAAGCTGCATGAACTTCTCCGAGTGTGGCTGCGTGTAGTGGCCATCGGCTTCGACGATTGTGAAGTTATCATGTCCGACGATCGCAAACTGGGTCATTGACAGTGCAGTTGCTCCAATGAAGCGCATGCGGTATGTCTTGCCTGGATCGACGTTGATCACAGGCAGTTTGCATGAGCCGGTGCCTGCCTTCTCGCCAGTCGCCACACCGACACCATTGATCAGGACCGCATTGGTCTCGCCCGACCAGGTGAAAGGCACACCAACAAGTCCGCTCTCGATCGTGTGGTCAGTCTTGTTGAAGTAGTCTGTCAGCATGACAATGCGCTCTTCATCGTAGGCGTACGGTGGAGGACCAGCATCTTCGACAATCAAAGGTCCAGCACAAGACACAGCTTGAAATCCAACGTGCGAATGATAAAAGTACGTGCCAGCTTCGTCCTTTAGCGGACGCACTTCATAGTCGAAGAAGCGTTTGGCCGGGATTGGCCACTGACTCGCTGCCGGTGTACCGTCTGCGAATGGAGCCATGCGTTGGGCGAGTCCATGCCAGTGTATCGTCGCGTTGTACTGATCCATGTCGTTGTATACTCGGATCCAGCTCGTCTTCCCAGCAGGTATCCTGATGGGTGGGCCTGGGGATGTGCCATTAGCCACCACAGATGTCCGTGATTGACATCCGACTGAAATGTTCTGGTATGTGATTCTCAAGACGAAGTCCGGGTGGAACGTCTCATCGTGCCACTGAGGGCCACCATAGTGTGGCGGTCGAGGGGGTCCTGGTCCAGGCTGCCATGCTGATGAGAGAGCGACCCAAGAGGCGGCCGCGAAAAGTGAAAGCCGCATGGTGAGAAGCGTACAGAAATGAAGGAGACAGATACGGGAATGACAAAGTTGAAGTACGAGGTAGACTCACCAGGGATCACCTTGTCTCGCAAGTCCCACGGAGAGTACCTTGCGCGGCTCTTTCAAATATGGCGACGATTGAGTTGCGGCTGTCCTACGATCCAAGGCCCGTGTGCAAATACCCGCGACCATCCTATCCACCAGCGAGTGGCCCAGTCTACTCCAATTGGATATGTAGGGCTCAGCTGCGATCCTTTTGCGCGTTGGTTAACATCATGGGCGTGTTCGCTAAAATCACAACGAGAAGGATGGTTGGCTGGCCCTCCAAGAAGGCATAGGTCGGTACAGATCGTCGTCCACATGAGGCACACGCTCAAGCCGCACGTGCAGGTAGCCGAGCTGGGAGGCACCATGACCGGGGAGCGCTGGGGGCCGGAACATTTGACATTTGGCCCAGGAGCTGCCCACTGATCCAGTCTCGGCATAGCCCTCCGTTACACGCTGGATTGCGGTGGCGGCGGTTGCTGAAAAGGGCGATTCTTGAGTATTGTGATGATGGCATAGCATTAGAAGAGGAGTCGGTCAGCGAGGCTGGCCGCTCACACTCAGCGCGGTGCATGTCGATGAATCCTTCAGCGGCACGCGGTTCTCAGCCCAGCGGTCGAAAGATCACGTTCGTTTGCGAGGCCTGCAGGTATTGTTGTACCGGGCTCACGATGCGTGTTCCAAGAATGCGAACGGTCTCTGTCGCCGTCGCCGTCAGACGCCGCCCCGTCGAATAGAGTTCGTTCGTGTTGGAGGCCGGCTCTCTCAGGTACGAGAACGAAACAGCCCCCAAGGCGGCGTCTTCGTGATCAGCTTCGGGCGACCGCAACCATTGCCGCGTGCGGTAGGTAGGTAGGTGATTGGAGGGGTGAGGATGTGGAATAGGCGACGGTGATGACTGTGGAGGGATGATGAAGATGACTTGTAGGCGGTGGTGAGCAGATTAGAGGTGTTTGATGCACTAAACGGTGGGATCCACTCCTTCCACGTTGGATGAAAGCATAAAACCTTGTCGCGACCTCTTCTTCTTTACACTATACACTGCATCTTCAATACAATACCTCTCTCGTTGTAGCGGCATCAAGTGTTTTGAGCAAGACACAGTGTGAATAATGGCATCCAGCGGCGAGACTTCGCAAATTGGCAGCCTTGGTCAGCGACAAGCGCCCAGCCACTGCTGTGCGACCCTTCGTACAGAGCGGACAGGAGGAGTGAGATTGATCATCCTTACTCAATGCGTTCCCTTTCCCACTCCCAGTGCCATTGTAGGGCTGACAACCGCTCGACTCGTCCCATGAATGCTCCGGTGACCCTGATGAGGCCTTCTGTGCGCGATGGGGGACCGCATCAGCTCATCATCACATGGTAGTCTTGATTCCATGCGCTTGCTCGATCCCTCTCTACATCTCGCTCCTACCACATGCAAGCCACACACGTGAGATTACCGATATCACTCATACTCTACTCCTGGACCTCAGCAGGCTCAAGAGCTAACGGCGTCAAGTCCTACCTCTCTCGCTTCCTCTGACTGTGAAGGCAAGCCAAGGGCTGCTGTTGCAATGCTTCTGAGGATTCTCTAGAGTTCTAAAGGCAACGGTAGCCGCATTTCCAAGTAAGTCGCATCACAGTTGTGCGGCAACGAGGAAAGAGCTGATGCTCGAACATTCACTCATTCACTCACCAAGCTGGGAGCCCTGTTCCTTCCTCCCCCTCATGAAGAATTTTCTCCATCTATCTACATCTCGTCGACTCATAACAATACGCCCGTCTCATTGCACAACCATGGGACTTCCATGTTCCACGCCCAAAGATCAGGAAGCAAGAGAAGCTCCAGTGGATCCCACCATACTTCGATGCAGTACTGATGAGCTGTGCAGTGCATGGCCACTACTCCCATTACAAGGAAGAGAAGAGAGCTACATCGCAATCAGAAAGCATTCCCCATCCCTGTCCCCATCCCCATCCCCATCTCACCCCTTTTCCTCCCCTCCTCCTCCCCCTCCCCCCTCGCCTCCATCTCATACAAACTCCTCCTCAACTCCTCCCCCTCCAACTCCAACGGCACCACAGGAACGGGCGGCATTCCCTCAGTCTGCGGATTCTCCACCTTCCCCCTTGACACACTCCTCGAAATCTGGTTTTGGTGCGGCGAGGAAGCAGCGCCACCACCATGTCCATACTCGTGTCCAGACGCGGGATCCATAAGGGGCGGACCGGACTGAATGGGTGTCCAGTGCATTTGTGGGTGAGGAGGAGGGGAGGGATAGGGCGGTATATGCGTGGTCATCTGCGTCTGAGGTGGACTTTGAGGGTACTGCTGCTGCCGTTGTTGCTGTTGGTCTGCTCGATCTCGTCGACTGCGTTTCCGTCCGAAGCAAAACAAACACATCCCCAGCGCCGCGAGGAGGAGCACACCGCCTGCTACGCCAACCCCAATCCCAGCTTTCGCACCCGTCGATAAACCAGCCCCAGCTGCAGCCAACGACGTCCCACTCTGCAGAATCGGCCCAGCACTCCCCGTCGCCGTCACTGTCGCATTTCCAGAACTCTCCCCCGACCCCGTCCCCTCAGCACTAACAGTAGGCGCCCTCCCCGTCCAGCTCCTCGCAGCCGCATACGTCCCCGTCCCCGGCGTAGCCTCCGCATCAACCCACACCCCACTCCTCGGCGCAGGCCGATACGTCGTCAACTGCGTAAAACTCTCCGGCGCATACCCGGGCACAGCCGTCTCCACTCAGGTACTCGTCCCTCCACTCAACGTAGGCTTATAGAACCCCGTACTCCCCCCAAACGTCGACGGGAGGGAGACGTAGGGCGCGAGTTTCGAGGGCGCGTAGAGGGCTACGAGGGCGAGGTTGCCCATGTCGCGGCATCCCCGTGGTTGGAGGACGAGGAGGTCTTGGGAGGGCGCCGGCCAGGCGAAGCCGCTGGATTCCGGGCCGTGGCAGATCCATGTGTTGGTGAGGTCTTGGATGTCGGTGCAGTATTCGAGGGCGGTCCAGGGGGATTTGTCTTGAAGATGTCAGCTCACTTCTCGAGAGCATGGGAAGGATGAAAGGAGGACTCACCAGGATCAAATCCGCATTTATAGGGACACGTCTCGTCATTGTAAGTGATATCCGTACAGCCGTATTGATAGAGATTGCCGGTGTTGGGGTTGTAGCAAGTATTTCCCGAGAGACAGGTATCGCCAAGCAGACAACAGGAAGAAGCACCGGTCGAATTGCAAGGGACGAGGTTATCTGGTCCGCGATATTGTCCGCCGGGGGCGTAGTAGCATTGCTGCTGTGCGGAAATGACGCCAACGAGGAAGGACAAGGCGGGTCTTTTCAGCATGACGACGGCAAGAGATGGGGATTGATAGCGATGCTCTGAGAAGTGGAGACGACAGAACGAAAGCAACAAAACTCTCAGCAGGAGCAAGCACTTCGGAAAGAGAGCTTACCTTTTGAGAGACCGTATCTCTTACTGAGCACCACCGGACATGGTCGTCGGTCAAAGCCGCACGCATATAGTACCATGCGGAGGCCAGTCTGGAGTCAGCCAGCTGAAGGGCTGTGACATGGATACTTGTTGCAGGGCTGGCTTCGTTGTGGAACGTTCATATATCGGCATCGCCGCAAGATACTCTCGAATAACGGGAAAAATGAGAGAGTTGAGCCGATGGTTTCGAGGTTCTTTTCATGACTATTGTGTCGAGTCCGTGACGAGAGGAAGTTGACGAGCTCGTGAGTTGGAGGAAGTTCTTCGGGATGGAGAAAATGTTGATGGTTGCACGGCGTCAACGCAGTTTTCTTTCGATTGGTGCTGGATCCAGCCTGGTCATTCATGCCATCATGCCCTCAGCTGCTGAGCCACGAGCACCACTGCAAGCAGCGGTGTTCTGCCAGTTGAATGGAGTTCATCCTCGTGGTTGTGTATCTCTCATAGTGGCCATGCCCATACTCTCAATATTTTTGAGCCAGACAAGCCTGATGGTCGAATGAGTACCGTCGTTGCTGTGATATGCTATTACCATCCCCTGCGGTTAGAGCAGCCGCCCCGATCTGACCATGTCCCATCTGCATGCATCAGCAGCCGCAGGAACAGCGGCACTCGTAAAGCCTTCCGACCGACGACTCCCTCAAGCACATCCGGAGCCGCATCCTTCATCACAACCCTTCGAAAGTCCGGCTGTGCCTCCTTTTATCTCCATTCACAAAATCCCATGCACCCGCAAGTTCTCAAGAACAATCTCATCAGTCCTCCGTCTCTCCACCTCGCGTGCCTGCAACTCAGTATACGCATCCTGCTGGTCACGGTACAAGATGTAGGGCCACTCGTTGGCATCCAGGGGTCGGACGGCAGGTAGTTTGGTGAGATCCAGCTGGAGTAATTATTAGCAAAGACTAACAGAGCGTCGCTTATTGATGATCAGGAAAGCTCACCTCGAGGCGCCAGTTCAGGACGCGACAGTAGAACAAAACAGCCAGGATGAAAGCGCTGACGCAGCAGTAGATAGCCAGAAGCCAGGTGAATGGGCCTACCCACGCCGCCTCATACTGCTCAAGGATTAGCAGCATCCAGATGTAAATTTGAGGGAGACATACCCATTTCGCCGTGTTCTGTGGAGGCACATACGACTGCAGTGTGGGTGATTCGTGCTGGCTCGGCGTCTCTGTCGGAGTCACAGTCTGGCTCGGCATCGAGATGTCCGTAACTTGCGCCGTGCTATGAGGGACGATCTTGGATGCAGACGTCGTTGGTTCGAATGAGAAGCTGGTGACTTCCTGGTTTGAAGCAGTGAAAGTGAAGGCGTGGTCGCTAGCCATCTCGTTGAGGAGGCGCGAGAGCTCGAGGGGGATTGTGCGACTTGCGGTGGGTGGCCACGCGGCCGTGGACGTTATGGTGATTGCCATGGCTGTCGCTGAGCTGTGTCTGATGGAATGAGGTGAAGTCGCAAGCTGTAGCAAGTGCTGGGGTTTGGACCCTGAAGCTAGTGTCGCCGCGCTTTCCCCGTGAGGAAGGAGCGAGTGAATTGCGAATCTCGAAGTATGGGCGCTGCTCTTCGCTTGAAGGGCTGGTAGGCGACGTCCAATAGCTTACCATGTGTTTCGATGATGAGGATCGATCGAGACGGATGCCTTTCAATCAAGTTAATTCGACGATTGACCCTTCCGTGAGGTGTTGAAGTATGTACAAACCGCTTATCATCCCATCAATCATTCAGCGCCGTCCTAGGCAAACCGTGTCCGAGCTTTTTCCCTTTACGACGTCTTGTCCCACGGCAGAGCAAATGTACCAACCCAGTCTTCCACCTCTCTCCTGAGTTCCACGATCTCTACGACCTCTTCCCCCTCCTTCACGTACTCCCTGAAAGCAGCCACACTGCCTGGGTTCTTTCGTCCACTCTTCTCTGCTGCCTCCTTTGCCTTGCCATCTAGCGTCTTGGTGATGTTGACCGCCCTATGGACAATATCCGCCACGCGCTTGAAATCGGCTGCTTGCAGGCCTCGAGTCGTCATGGCAGGCGTACCCATTCGTAGCCCACCAGGCTTCATTGCGGACTTGTCGCCAGGGACCGTGTTCTTGTTGGCAGCAACACCTACAAGCTCCAGAATCCTCTCGACTCGAGCGCCGTCGATGTTCTTGTCCTTGAGATCGACCAGCACCAGGTGGTTGTCCGTCCCGCCGCTGACAATGTTGTAGCCAAGACCATCCGACTCTTTTCCGTTTCCTAAACGTGCCGCAAGAGCCTTCGCATTCTCAAGCACTTGCTGCTGGTATTCCTTGAACTCTGGCTGCTGGGCTTGGTGCAACGCAACAGCCAGGGCTGTGATGGTGTGGTTGTGTGGACCTCCTTGATGGCCTGGGAAGACCGACGAGTTGATCGGTCCTTCCAAATCGTACTTCGTCTCCACGCCTTTCTTGTCGACTTTTCGCACACCCTTTCGGAAGAAGATCATGGCACCTCTTGGTCCTCTCAAGCTCTTGTGCGTTGTCGTAGTCACGACGTCTGAGTACTCGAACGGTGAGGGAATGACACCACCGGCAACGAGACCAGAGATGTGTGCCATGTCGCTGAGCAAATAGCAGTCGCCCACCTTGTTCGCAATCTCACGGAATCGGTCGTAGTTGATCAGCCGACTGTAAGCGCTTGTCCCAGCAACGATGATCTTGGGTCTGTAGAGCAATGCCATCTCTTCCAATTTATCGTAGTCGATGAGGCCGGTACTTTCGTCGAGGCGGTAAGGGAGGGTCTCGAAGTATTTGGAGATTGCGGAGATCTTCTTGTTCGGTATTTGGTACCCGTGGGAAAGATGGCCTCCATGGGGAAGATCGAGGCCCATGAGTCGGTCATGCGCGTTGAGGAGGGCAGAGTAGGCGTAGAGGTTGGCAGGCGAGCCAGAGAGAGCTGTATTGTGGTGTCAGTCTTGCGACAGCACTCCATATCATGGCAGTCCTCACGCTGTACGTTGACACCCCATTCTGACTCTTTCAATCCGAACGTCTCCAATGCTCGCTGCTGGCAGAGTCGTTCTGCTTCGTCAATGAACTCGTTTCCACCGTAGTATCGTGCTCCAGGATAACCCTCTGAGTACTTGTCTGTCTCGCATATCAGCCAGCTCTTGTTACACAGCTATCATCTGCCTTACTTTGCATCACACTGCCCAGCGCATCCAGCACCGCCTGACTGGTGAAGTTTTCTGAAGGAATGAGATTGATAAAGTGTTTCTGCCGTCTCTTTTCCTGTTGTGATCGTCAGACTCGAGTTCCGCCTCGAAATCGAACGATTCACGGTCGTACCTTGCGGATGATGTCAAAGATGGTCGGGTCAGCTTCTTCGAGTTGCGAGGAGAGCAGCTACTATTCAGTCAGATGGTCCAAATCTATGCCTTTCGTATCTAGTCATTCCCACCTTCTGTTGGCCCTCGGAGGACAATGCCCGCCTACTCTGCGCCAGGAATGACTGCGCGGGGACGGGACGCCTGCATGCTCGACAAAGCAGCGAGCCAGATGTCCTGGCAGTCGCCCGAAACGACGACATGGCTGTGAGTAGGAAGATATTGCAGGCAAATGGTGCAAAAGTCAAATGGAGATGTTGGTGGGAGGGTACAGAGCTGGAGCATTCATTGACGCCTCTACCGAATCTGGCGCTAAATGTGGGGTCTGCCGGCGAGCGAAGATCGGCTAGAGAGGAGCTGATCCGCAATATGCGCCTTTCACATGCTGCAACGTGAGATGAATCCAACAATGAATGAGGGGTAATGCTGAGAAACACGGGTATAATGTTCGATATATGCCTCATAGACGTCTAGCAGTTGTACAGGATGAGTTGTATCAAGACCGACATCGATCCTGCCAAAGTGGACTGGAGCTTCTGGACAGGTATTTTCGGGGTCGGGCATCTGCATCTGCAACATCCTTCCTCCTCCTCTGCCTCCGGAAACCGTACCAGGGTGGCTGGCAGAAGCAGGGGAGCCAGGGAGGCAGCCCCCAAACGCAGCTGACACAATTCTTGTATTCGATGTGCGACGGCCAGCGGAGTTGGCAGATACTCCGGAGGCAGTATCCACGAGCTGCATAGGAACAGATGCGTGGATGGCTCTGTAATAAAGGAGAGGCAGACAGAAAACAGGCGGGGTTTCTCGCAGGAACAGCAGACACGTGCAAGACGGCAAAACGGCGGGTTGAAGTCGACGAGGGGATGACGCGATTTGGCAGCAGGGCAGCGACACCGGCTGGCCTCACCCGAGCACAATCAAGTCGTGGCGGTGGTGGGCTCGGTCGCCGAATACGTGGGCATTGCTCCGTCTGATCAGGACACGACGACTCCAGGAATATATCAATTGCTGCCCCCGAGCGACACCTGCTGCGTTGATATTGTCCAGCCTCAGTATCGCCGCTTCTCCTCCATTCCACCCCAGCGTCATCCAGCGAAAAGCACCACGACTTGCTTCGACCCTTGCAGCCCGCACCCGCCAGCCAGCCAGCTACTCGACAGCTTTAGGTTTGCGCCCCACGTCGTCTCCGGCATTTCTCTCAACTCACCTCATCCAGTTTATTTTGCTGCTCGTCGCCCGTCCAACTCTCCCTTCTGCACACCACTCCCACCACTGCACTCCCTCGACACCACCTTACCACACCACACACACACCACCCATCCGCCACCATGACCCAAGTCAACGGCACCGCCCCGCACGCTGGCCCGTAAGTCGCCCATTGAGCTGAGCCAGTTCCGTCCACGTCTGACGTCTGCTAACACCGCTCCAGAAAGGGCACCTTCCTCTTCACCTCCGAGTCCGTCGGCCAGGGCCACCCCGACAAGATCGCTGACCAGATCTCCGACGCCGTCCTCGATGCCTGCTTGAAGGAGGACCCCGCCTCCAAGGTCGCCTGCGAGACGGCCACCAAGACCGGCATGGTCATGGTCTTCGGCGAGATCACCACCAAGACCCGCCTGGACTACCAGAAGGTCATCCGTGACGCCATCAAGGACATTGGCTACGATGACTCGTCCAAGGGCTTCGACTACAAGACCTGCAACGTCCTCGTCGCCATCGAGGAACAGAGCCCAGACATTGCACAAGGTCTGCACTACGAGGAGCGCCTCGAGAACCTCGGTGCCGGTGACCAGGGTATCATGTTCGGCTATGCCACCGACGAGACCCCCGAGTTGCTGCCATTGACCATCCTCTTCGCCCACAAGCTCAACAAGGCCATGACCGACGCCCGCAACGACGGCAGCCTCCCATGGCTCCGACCGGACACCAAGACCCAGGTCACCATCGAGTACGAGCATGACAACGGCGCCGTCATCCCCAAGCGTGTCGACACCGTCGTCGTCTCTGCCCAGCACGCTCCAGAGATCACCACCGAGCAGCTCCGCAAGGAGATCAAGGAGAAGATCGTCAAGAAGGTCATCCCAGAGAAGTACCTCGACGACAAGACCGTCTACCACGTGAGATCCACCATCTTTGAATTCTCGCCTTCTTTTACTGACTTTCATTTCAGATCCAACCATCTGGCCTTTTCATCATCGGTGGCCCACAGGGTGACGCCGGTCTGACCGGCCGTAAGATCATCGTCGACACCTACGGTGGCTGGGGTGCCCACGGTGGTGGTGCCTTCTCCGGCAAGGACTACAGCAAGGTCGACCGCTCGGCGGCCTACCTCGCCCGCTGGATCGCCAAGTCCATCGTCCACTCCGGCCTCGCCCGCCGTGCCCTCGTCCAGCTCTCGTACGCCATTGGTGTTGCCGAGCCACTGTCCCTCTTCGTCGAGACCTACGGCACCTCCTCCAAGACCTCCGACGAGCTCGTCCAGATCGTCCGCAACAACTTCGACATGCGTCCAGGTGTCATCGTCAAGGAGCTCGACCTCGCCACCCCCATCTACCGTGAGACGGCCAAGAACGGCCACTTCACCAACCAGAACTTCTCCTGGGAGAAGCCCCGCACCCTCAAGTTCTAAATCACGACTTGATACCCCCACTGTTCAACCTTTGATTCCGGCTTCAGCATAGCCGAGCTCGAGGCTCCACCCTCGGCTCGCACCATCGGCGTTTATATGGGATTTGTATTAAGAAAAACCCGGCGGAGTTTGAACGAAGCAAGAAAAAGTTTTGAAATGGAGAGAGAGAGCGCAGTGATACCCCCGATACAGCCCCTGCTCGCGGCAATATGGATACTACTATTGACTGATGAAAAAGCGTTATTCAACATAGACCTCGGGCAGGCCGAGTGCTACAACAACACCCGACGACGACCAACAACTCGTCTGGTGGACATGGCATTTGAAAGGAAAAAAAGTGTTTCGAAAAAGGAAAGATTTTTTGATGTGGGCAATCTGACATTTAGCGTCGGCGTTCTGGAGATGTGTTCAACATTCATCTCTCCTAGAGCGTGACCAAGTCGAAAGGGAAATGGTTCAATCGCGCTTGATAGTTGAAATGAATGGGGACTTCTGATTTTGAGACAACCTTCTTTGCTTGACTTTTCTTTCCTCGTCGCCATCTTCAACTCTTGTAAAAGTATCGACACTAACAACCGAGTAGGAACTTCTTGTTCAAGATGAGAGAGGTGAAGCCACGATACCCAAGTCAAGTCAAGTCAAGTCAATCCAAGCTCTGGCCCATCTACTCCTCGCCTCCGCATAACATCTAGGTTCAAAGTCACGCCGAGCAGCAAGACGATCTCAAATACATAAAAAACCACAACATCAACGTGAATAACACCCGTCCAACGGTCTCCTCCCAGCCCGTATCCTAGCCTACAATCATTCAGAATCACACACACGGAGGGGGAACCTTCCAAACACCCTTCTTCTGAGAGAGAGCAGACGCTACTATTGGAACCAAAAGGCACACACACAGATAGTAGTTTTGATGACGATGCCGAGATCGCTTTTCGGCCATGTGTACCCCAATTCCCATCACGATCATACGCAGCGTAAGTAAGATATACTACAATTCCCACTCCTTTCCTTAACGCCAATGCTGAAAAGTTTCCCCGAGACCATGTCCACCCAAAAATTTCGCTTCACACACGATCACCTGCCACCAGTCCACGCACGATCACCTTCGACCATTCCACACCATCACCTTCCACCAGTCCACTCACACATCCCTCAACTCCCCCACCAAACCCCCCAACAAACCCACCAACTCCCCCGCCCGACTACTAAAAGGAACATGATCACTCTTCAAATCCCTCACCCTCACGTTCCCCACCCCACACCGGTTCTTCAACCTCTGCAGAAAGAAATCCTGCTCCTCGACCCTCATCGCTCGATCCTCCAGACAGCGGATGTACACGCAGGGATGGTCTTTCCAGGTTTCGTGTTTGGTCGGGGTGATGAAGGAGGTGGAGGATTGGGGGACGATGTGGGTGATATAAGGGACGGAGGCGGTTGGGGGGAGGGAGGAGAAGAGGGTACGGGAGGGGGAGAGGACTGTGGAGAGGGGGCCCTGTTACGATGTTAGTTGGTTGGGGAGTGATAGGAAAGGGGAATAAATACCTCCGTCTTCACCCACTCCGCCCTACCGCCCATCTTGGACGTCACCAGACTCTGACCCGCTTCCGCCACGAACGCCGAGACGAAGACGATGCCGAGGACTCTGCCCAGCCTTATCCTCCCATCGAGTGCCTTCTCAGGTAAATCCGCCAGCGCCTCGCATCCAGGAATCCCGCCATAGCTATGGCAGACGAGGAGGACGTCTCGGCCATCGAGGAGTTCATTCCGTACCGTCTCGTGGAGAAGCTCGACGTCGCTTTCGAAGGAGTTGGGTGGGGGTGAGTGGCCCGAGCTGGATTGTTGCGGGACGAGGACGCGGTGGAAGATGGTGGGGGTATGGTGTTGGAGGGCGGTGATGAAGGGTTGGTAGTGGTATTGGGTTTGGAAGGCGCCGTGGGAGATTATGAGGGTTGTTGGGGGGTGCTGGTCTGTTGAGGAGGTTTTGGAGCTGGTGGTTGATTTGGGTTTGGTGGGTTCGTTGTCGTTGTCGTTGGAGTGGGTTGAGAAGCAGTTGCATTTGGAGAGGGTTTTGAAGAAGATTTTCAACTTGTCCATGGTTTCGTTTCGTTTGTGGTTGATGTTGATCTCCCTTGGCTTTGATCATGGGAATTGTTTGGAGTTGCGAAGCACACAGCAGGTGCAAGTTAAGAGACGAGGAGATTCGAACAATGAGGCACAGTCTTCCTTTTAAGGTCACTCCCGTCGTATGAGGTATCCCTTCGAGGCACAGTCAAGTCCAGACCAACACCAACACGCGCAATACGCCGTGGCGCCTTTTAGCGAATGACAGACGCAGCTAACGTCTTTGTTATTCTTGAAAGGTGCGTGCGTTGTCGGCAGTCCTGTGATTCCTGTCCGAGTCGTCTTGAGTGATGAAGTGCCAGAGGTGTGTCTTTCCAAACGGCGCCGGTGGGAACGTTAAAGGTGATCTTCGTTTAGAGTTTCTGCTATCCACGTTTTTGATAGTCGCGTTTGGTGGCGCCCTACTTTGGTGAGGCTTCGACGCTACAGCACGCTGTAGGGGGTAGAGTTCATGTGACGAATGCCTGCCCACACCTCAACTTTCTCCTTCGATGGTGTGTTGCTGCGTGGTGGTGTTGGTGAAAGGTTAGTGCAGGGGTAATAAAGTCCAAACCCTGAGAGTAAATTCACGCAACTGCCGTTTCTTGCGTTCGTCACTTCGAAGGAAGGAGCAGGAGGTTGGTGAAATAATGAGGCGGAAGGAGCGTTGGAGAATTGTAAAATGCCTGTGAGAGGAGGGAGTCGATCTTTGTGCGCCATACAGGCTCTGGCAAGAATGATATGAACCCCTGCTAGTTTCTCAGCCTTTATCTAGCTATATATGGAAGAATAAGTGGGTCACTACTTTGTATAGCCTCCTTTAGTATCGATTACTGCCTAATATCTTTCCCTAATACTCTAGTAGATCCTTAATATATTAGATGTCGACAGCCTTATCTATTTAGTCTATATAGCCTAAATAACCTCTACCCTTATTATAGGGAAATAAAGCCTAACCCTATACTTTAAAAGACTCTAAAGATTCTTAATTAGATTAAGATCTAGTAAGTTTGCTAGCTATATAAGGAGCTGTATATAATAGTCCTTAAATAAGGCTAATATAGCCTTAGCCTTGT